CAGACACAGACACAGACACAGACACAGACACAGACAGACACAGACAGACAGACACAGACACAGACACAGACACAGACACAGACAGACACAGACACAGACAGACAGACAGACAGACAGACAGACAGACAGACAGACAGACAGACAGACAGACAGACAGAAACTAGGCCCAAACCCTACCCCTACACACTACCCCTCCGTTCGCGCGGAGGGTCCGCCACATAAATGGCGCGTTTCCACTACACGGCCTCGCTCGGCCCCGCTCGGTATGGCTGGGCCTCGTTAGGACTGGCTCACTTTATGGCACATTTCCATTACAGTTTAGGAACTGGGGTAGTATCTATAGTAACGCAGTGTAGGCGGAGCCGTGACGTGATCTTCAGAGAACCCCACAGTAAACAACACAGCTGTTAGCACTCAGAGCTCACAGCTCCTCATATATGTTCAGAAACTAGACAAAAGTTAAACAAGTACAAACCACAGACTGCCTGTGTCATGGTGAATACAGTCGCTGCTTTATTTATGTCTGTATAGGCCGTTGTTGTGAGTGTGGACGGTCGGAGCATATACTGCGTTAGCTTAGCCAATCTCCATTTAGAACACACGCATTTTAAAAGGTTTTTCGCCTGCCGTCTGTCTGCAGACTTGACAAAGCATTAATTCATGGTTTTTACTAACCGGTATCAGTATGTTGTTACTTCGGCATCATTTTGAAACGTGTATTACAATTAAATCACGGTCAAATATGTCCATCTTGTTGTAGTTGTAGCCCTCTTGCCAGCGATGCTCTCTCTGTTTAGCATACTCAGCCCGACTCAGCCTCGTTGTCTCTGGCCCTAGACCCGCGATTTTATGAGGCCAGAAAAACTGTGAATTAGGACCCGCCGGCCGGTACTAGGCCAAGTGGAAACGCAACCAAAGACGGGCCGCTGACGTCACAGCCCTCTTAAACCGGGCTGCGAGCTGTAGTGGAAACGCGCCATAAGTGCTGTTCCAAACCAACGAGTGTGGAGGGGGAGTGGGTTATCAAGCCCTCAAACAGCGAGTCTGCATCGGTGCTGAGTTCTGACTTGAAACCGGTCACTACCTGACCGGACTCAACGCTGTGTGTGTCCGTCAGGAAACACGCTGTTTACAAACAGTTCCAGCAAACATCCACTGATAAACTGCGATGTTAACAACCTCATGATAACATCATTTTTTTTTTACTTAGGATCGTATAACTGTGTTTAGTCTAGAAAAAGGTAAATGTGTGCATTTTATTATAAAGTCGGGTATATTTACAGACTGTTGCAAAAACTAAGAAGCTTATAAACATCAGGTTTAAAACTAAAAGAGACAACACAATTAAAGATGTTTGGAGTATTATTTTAGTTATTCATTTAAATTTGTTGTCCAAGAGATGCTGATTTGAAACCGTTGTTACATACAGTTACGGCATTTCCTGTTTCTGCCGGAGAGAGGGGAGTTTGTCCCAAAGCTTGCCGCTGTATTTACTCCCTCCATCTGACAGGAGGGAGCCTCTTTTGCGGCTTTCACACCAGCGCTTTTCCCTTTCTAGCTCCCAGCGAGAGCTTTTCTGGTTCAGCTCCCGTTTCCCTTTTCAGCTCCCGCTCTGTTCACACTGCCCAGAGCTGCCGAGAGATTTTCTCCCACAACAACGGGGGGGGGACTGCGTCGGGTCGACGATCGTGTTGCTTTTAATCATACGAAGCCAGATTAAATTAAATAACGACTTCTCCAACCTTATACTTTTCTCCAAAGTGCCGTGGTTCATTGTTTATTAATGTGTTTCAGCATTTACCGACCGCTGCAGTGCTGGCTGCTCTTCAACGGGAGTGTATTCTCCCGTTAGCTCCGGGTTAGCTCACACGGCTCTAAAGTATTCACTGTCTGACTGTCACACAAGCAGCTGATACATATCCCCAGTTCCCCTTAAGTGAATGTGTGTCAGTCTGAATTGACACTGTTTGGCATCACAACGCTGTTATGAAAGTTTCTCTGGTATAACATGGGTGATGTTAGCATAGCAACCGAAGCTAAACGGACTACTTGCTAAGCCGTTTTCTCCAGGCACTTTTTACCGGCGTATTTTTCATTATGATTCTACTTGTGATAGTCGGACATGACAACCTGTACAGCCCATGTATTAATTCCATCCGATAGCTGCTATAATAACAAACCAAACGTCTGCCTGCTCTCCACAATGATCAATAACAGCGAACGGATGGTCAAAGTAAGGTTTCCTGCACGCCTCGACGTAAGAGACGTAAGCGACGCCGCGTCATAGCTCCAAAGCTCTTGCCTCTGGACCGACAACTTTTTGGAGCTGGAAGTGAACCGCATTCCGGAGCTATGACGCGCCGCCGCTGCGGTGTGAACAGGAAAAACCGGCGCTTTTCAGGCTCTAGCTCCCAGCAGGAGCTGGAAAAGCGCCGGTGTGAAAGGGGCATTTGAGCTGCGAGTGTCACTCCACGGAGTTCACTCCGTCACGGAGGGGTAGTGTGTAGGGGTAGGGTGTAGGGCGTGGTTTGGGATTAGGCCAATGTGTTGGCTTGTGGTGATGGTGACCGTGGAGTGTGTGTGTGTGGTATTGTTTTATTAAGAGTCTATGCAATGCACACACTTGTTTGCTAGCAGGGATAAATTCTGTTCTGTTAATTCAGAAGTTGGACTGCAGTAAATACTTTTTTGTTTAATACAGTCCAAAGTTGTAGCTGCTGGTTCAATATTGCATAGATGAATATAATAGACATTACAAGATCATACATCCACTTACTATATGGTATTTCAATTTTAATACCATATGTTATTACTTTAAAAACATTAGCATAGAAGGGCTCGACACAGCTGCTTTAGTAAATGCAACAGATTAAGATCATGTTGTCTGGGGGGGAAAAGTATTGTTGGCAGTGACAGCTGAGTCATGTTGAGGGGAAGTAAGATGACTCAAGAAAACATTTGAATTGTTAATGTAAAGTAAACGTGTGACAGTAGAACAAGTGCTTCTCAACCATGTGACCAGGGCCTTATAAACAATGGTGAAATGTTACTAAGTGCATTTACTTCAGTACTGTACTTTAGTAATGATTTAACATTTATATTACAGCTTTAGTTACTAGCTACTTTGTTATTTATACAAAATATAATTCAACTAGTACATTATTATATATTATCATAGTTTAAGCTGCCCAGAATAATATAAAGTAATTCAAATAAACCACACTTTTATCATCTGCAACATTAAAAGGGATGAAAACAGACATAATGTATCAATAAATAGTACACACATTTTATTAATTTGAATCTGAAATCGGCCAAAATACATATTGAGAACCTTTTACTTTTTGGTATTTAAAGTATGTGTTGATGCTCATACTTTTATTCTTTCACTCAAATACCATATTGTATGCAGGACTACTTGTAACTTAGTATTTTTACAATGTATTGATGCTATTTGCTATATCTGAGTACCTCTTTCACCAATACTAATAAATATAGTATTGTGTTTACTTATACACATTTCCAATTGTTGTCTTATTTCATTTTGATTTGATTTTGTTAATCAAGAGCCACAATCCCAGTCAAAAACTGTAATGTATGTGCCAAGGCCCTCAGTGCAGCAACAACTTGGTATCAGCTGCCCTCTGCTGACTTTTATGTGTACTACAAATACATGAAACTGGGAACAGAAATGAGGCATTTGTATTTAAAGGAGCACTCCTTGAAATACAAAAATGACCCCAATGATGTCATAGTGATGTCATCCTGTTTATCTTAGCTTTAGGCTACACGTTTAAAACTAAGAGTTTGTGTTTCAAACTGGGGCAGTAGAGTCAGTGGCGTAACAAGGTTGTGATTTGGGCAATGCCATTGGGGCCCCAAAAAAAAGAAATGTAAACATTTTTAAAACTTTTTTTTTTTTTTTTTGCATGGGCCCCTGGACGGCTCTGGGCCCCGGTGCGTTGCACCGGCTGCACCGTCAATAGTTATGCCACTGAGTAGATTTTGCTGGACGTTAGCATTTACCAAGAAGGAATACTAATAATAATAATAAATGGAATTTATAAAGCGCCTTTCACGGGACCCATGGTGGACAGACAAAACAAAACAGAAGATAATAAGCGAACAAAACAAGACAAAATAAAATAAAATAAAGGAAGCCGGGGGACCAGGAAAGGACTAGGGTCCGAAGGCCATGGTGAACAGGTGTGTTTTTAGTGAGGATTTGAAGATGTCCAGTGAGGCAGCGTTCCGGATCTCAGGAGGAAGTGCATTCCAGAGGGTGGGGGCCGCAACACTGAACGCCCTGTCAGGGTGGGGGTGATGTGTTGCCATGGCTTAGTGCGGGTGAGAAGCCTGGCGGCAGAGTTCTGGACATATTGGAGCCTGGCCAGGGTTTTGCTGGGAACCCCGGACAGGACTCCATTGCCGTAGTCCAGACGGGATGTGATGAAGGCGTGTATGAGTGTTTCTGCCACTGAGTCAGAGAGTGAGGGGCGGAGTCTGGCAATGTTTTTGAGATGGTAGACGGCGGATTTGGTAATGGATTTGATATGCGCCTGGAAAGAGAGGGTGGAGTCCAGGTCAAGGAAGAATCTACCAAAGACACTACTGAGTTGCATTATCGGAAGTGTAGTACACAGCGTTACCACAGTTTGATCCATATTTGGGAGTGACATTTGGGAGATCTCGGCCTGTGTTGCATCAGTTTTGACTATTCTTCTTTTAATATGCCTCTCAAGTCATACAATTTTGTGGAAGTAAAATACTAAATTATGGTATTTCCCTTAAACATCACGGTTCTGTCTCTTTCACAGCATCCCTGCATCCAGAAAGAGTCTGACTACATCAAGTTCCTGTGCTGTGACGATCAGCACACACTGCTGCTTTGGGTCAACTCCATCAGGATAGCCAAGGTCAGATTCAACACTGTAACAAAAATCACTTTAATGTGGGCAGTTAGATTAGAAATCTATATGACATTCAATTTCAAATTTGAAAATTCTATGCACAGAAATAGCAAATATAGAGATTGCAACATTGTCAAAGACTTAAACATGTGTGTGTCCTATGTGCGTTCAGTATGGGACCACCCTGTATAAGAACTACCAGGTTGCGATGAAGAGAGCTCACCCCTCTGCTTCACACAAAGGTGAGTCTACACGTCACAACAGGGCCGCTAGATAAACACAAAAAAACTAGGACTTCGAACCGCGATACTTAGCTCGCTTTTCCCATTTTTATACTTTTGTGTGCACTGTGGCTTGTCATTTACATATATATAAATATATATATATTTAAATGTATATATTCATTTTATATTAAAACCAATTCCCATTGTTAATAATTTTAGAATTTCTCTCGGGATAATAAAATAGTTGCTGGGCACCCTTGTCCGCAAAACTCACTAGCCTATCACTGCATTTACATCAAGAAAATAAAAGTTACATTTAGCAACATTTATGTTTGATTGATTTATGTTTTGATTTATATATATAAACAGCAGTGTTGTTTGAACTTACTATTAAAAACAATTATATCCTTTCACAAAGGCCCTCCTCCAAGCATTGAGTCATCCAATAGCAGGCCTCGGAAGTAGGTATGACAACATAAGCTATTTGGAACTCAACCTAAAAATAAAACATTTGCATGCATGGTATTTATTCTTAAATCTAAAAACAATAAACCCAACATTCAGAGAATTTGAAGTATTTAAAGGGCCAGTGTATGGTATTAGCAGAAATTAAATGTAATATATATCATTATGTTTAAAAAAAAAAAACGTTTTCTCCCCTTGTCATTTCTGGTTTTGCTTCCTGTCTTTGTGTTTCCCGCCTTTTTGTGATTGTCTGCCCTGATTCTTTCCACCTGTGTGTAATCACCATGCTGCCCTTTTTCTGCCTGCCCTCTCCACCTGTGTCTTGTCTATGTGATTAGTTCTACTTGTATTTTGGTCCTCGTCTTCTGTTAGTCTTGTTGGATCCTCGTATGTCAAAGCTTGTAAAATGATGTGTCCCTTGCCTTGTCTTGCATAAAAGTAAAGGAATAAAGGTTAAGTGTCTGTCTCCTGCATTTGGGTCCCCTTTGCTCCAGTTGTACCGTGACCAAATCTCTTAAAACTAAGAATCTTTGTTTTTTGTTAAATTAGAGTAAGCTATTTATATGTACATAGAGAGTGGGTCCACAATGTTGCACCACCATGTTTAAACCGATTCAACAGCAGCCCAGAATGGACAAACCAATTTCCGGCACTAGATAAGGCACTTAACATTTTAACGTTACCTCAAAGCCACCGTATTTATCAAACAAGCTCTAGAAACTGCCGTTAGGCTGGCATCTGACTCAATTTCATTGCTTTCTTTGCTTGCCGAATTATACACACTATCCCTTTAAGACTAAAATGTTACTGGTGCTTTTGATCAGCTAGGGAGAAAACTGTAGGAAAGCAGTATTTTTTAAATATAGAATAACACTCACTCAATTTCTCACTCGATTGTCTCTACAGACAGATATAACTCACAGGTCAACACGCAACAGGCTCCACCCCAAACTACAAATGTTGAAGACTACCCACACGAGGCACCGCCTGACTTCATCCCTCCTGCACCTCCTGGACACACACAAGTTTAAGGTGTCCTTCAGTTAGCCTGGATTAATTGATTGGAAAACACAAATCTGGAAAAATTGTTAACTTGGTGCCAATAATATCACTTTTCTGTAATGTACATAGGAGTAACCTTACATGTCATAATGCAAAAGAACAGATTTAATGTATTACCATATGTATGAGGATATTTATTTGTGTATGGTTTTGCAATTAATACCTTTTTCTCACATTTACGACACACTCCAAACATAGCTTTGTTCATTGTTTCAATGAGCTGTTTATTACAAAAAGACTGTACATAAATTTCAATGACCACATCCTATGTACAAACTGAGAGGAGAAGACAAATATTGGATTCTGTTCCCATGAACATTTAAGTTACAGATTCCCCCCCCCCCACCCTACGTTTCATCATTAAGAAAACACACATCAAAGAAATGCGCCTTGACCTGTGATGCCCTGAAATGCAAAACTTTAAGTGGTAAACATTACAAAGTTCTGCACGTCAGTGGTTGTCTCATGATTTCTCTATGAAAAAAGTATAAATTAATCCTTTACATACAAACTGCTATATCCAAACCTTCCTCAGCAGTCTCAGACACAAAAACAAGTTGAATGCAAAGCTAGAAATACATTAGGTAGAAAAGTGTTCACAAAAAATGACCTCATGATGGAATAAATACAATCATAATGGGATGTAGTGGCAAATCATTCACTGTTACGACGTTTAGATACTTTCATGCACAAAGGCCCAATGAATACTGAAGTATTTTGGTTTGTCTGTATCCATTTCAAAATAAAAGTGTGTTCAATGCCCGTTATTCCCATAGTACATGATTATGTTTGTTTATGTGGCTTGTTACAAACATGTATTAAAAAATAACAATTAGCTTTGATGATATATGACGGTGGGTTTTACTTGCAACAACAATCACTTTGTAAGAGCAGGCAGTTTACTTTGAAAAAGTAGTAGAAACCAGCACAGAAGTCTTCATATCGGCACTGTTTGTAAGACCTCTGGATTGCAATTCACTGCGTTTAGCAAGTGTCATTCATTTGTAGCGCAGACTTGTATCTATTTCTGGGTGTACATTGACAAAAACAAACTTTAGTTTTACATTACTGCTGGGTTGCCTACATTCACAAGAGGTGATTGAAGACGATTACAATCAAATCTGATGGATGTTTACCTTTTCGAGTGAAGAAATTACGCTAACATCACTTGTTACGTTTTTACAGTGTGTAGAGAAGTCTCGGTTTGAGGTTGTTTGTGTTGGTGATAATGGTTTTTGAGCACCAATGTAAAGCCCCTCACCAGAAACCACTCATGTAAAGGTTAGCCGATACTTCTGTAAGCAACTCTTGCAATGCCGAAAATCATGAAGTCATCACGGTTAACCTGATATTCAAACGCAATGGGGAAAAAACTTGAAAACAAACAGTTTAGTCCTTCCTTTGCTTCGTGTTTAGAAGCTCTGCTACAGTAGCTGGACAGCATCACAGAATAAGTGACCAAAAGGATATAGGTGTGACGGAACATAGAAAAATAACTGTTTATACACGGCCACTTTGCCACGATAAAGTAAAAAATGGCACTGTGAGTGATGAATAGAATTTATATTCAAGTTAAATAAAAAATGTAAATGGCATCCAATCTTGGCATCACCTGCACGGATGGAAACAGGTGAAAACACACTAAGTGACAAATGTACTGTTATTGGCAGCTTCTCACGTTACAGTTTATATACAAGTTAGAGAACAGAAACAAGAAACTGTTGTCTTTTTTTTTGTAATGCATTCTATACACTCAGTTTTTAACAGCATCCCCATTGACACAGAGCATAGTAAGTACACAACACGAGGTTGCTTTTGTTCCACCTTAAAAATCTTGTGATTCGGACATCGACGGCATTGAACATTCAGTGGTGTCCTAATGCACTTGTTGATGTCTGTTTGTCCTTTTTCGGGTGTTTTTTTTAAGGTAAGATGGATGTTTTTTTAAGGAAGGGAAGGGTTGGTCTGCTGGTCTACAGTGCAAATAAAGGGGTAGGAGCATACAGTATGCGCGGCATTTTATCCTAAAAATGCGATACTGCCTCATCTATTCATGAAATCCTAGCAACACTTCACTGTCTGGATCGACTGCATACTCTAAATACTGAAAATGTTGGCGGAAAATTAAGACTTAATCTAAATTAACTTGCCATTTTTTTAAATCATGTAATTTCTTTTGAGGCAAAATGTGACTTCTAAAGGGGACATATCATGTAAAGCTTTATCAGTGCCAATCAACTAACTTTCACATTCATGCTCATTAGAAAACACCAACCCCCATCCACACTGGCTTGAGAACTACCATTACAATATTTTCCCGCAAGCCAATCAGAGCAGACTGGGCTTTTTCGGGAAGGAAGCTTAAAGAAACAGGCGCCAAAACGGGGTGTTCCGGACAGATGGTGAATTCAGGTATCTTTACACAGGCTGTACGAAGAAAAAAATGTGTTTCTCGAACATTAAAGCATGTAAACATGTTCTACTAGAAACCCAAAGTACATGAATGAACTTGAAAACGAGCATGATATGTCCCCTTTAAACTGCTACAGACCACCAGATATAACAGTGGTATCTGAAAGGCCTTAATCTCCTCCCTTTCATGAACAGTGTAAACTAACAGACCCTGGTCCGAAGCTTTAGCTCCTTCATTGTGCGACACTTCTTTTTTTTTGGGAGTATAACAAAACCGTGCAAGCACAAACCCCCCAAAAAGAAAACCATTTGAAAATCCACAATGGCACTTCATTCAAAATGGGGGCTGTATGAAGTGCAGTACATCTAAAGTTCATTTTAACCTCCTTTCAAAACTGTGTTGTATTTTTTTTAGTCAGCATAGTGCATGATCGCCTCAACGTAGTTTCCTGGGAAGAGTCCGGTGACGCCGTTAGCGACGCCTTCGTACCAGCCGTCATCGTTTTTCTTGATTATGTAGATGATGGCCCCTTCCATGAAGGACAGCTCATCCTCCTTGTCCTTGCTGTAGTCATAGATGGCCACAACTGGGAACAAATCCAAACAAACAGAAGTGGTTTGATGCAGTGGCGGATATAGTAAACTTTGACATTAAAAGCACTATCAACAGGAAGACTAACAGACATTTACTTTTAGTTTCATTAGGTGACCATTTTAGCAAATATGATATGATAAAAATAGGATAAAAACAAATGATCACTGTCACCAAATTAAACTTTAAGATTTGAAGTGTTTTTAATGAAGAGGAGGAAAAATAAAAGTCTCTTTTAAAAGTCATTTACCTTTCTCTAAATAAATCTTGGGGGCCCAGTGAGGGTCTCCGTCAGCGTAGGGGTCGCTGTAATTAGCCACCGCTGCATCCTCGTCCTCATAGTCCGCAGGTGGGGGAGGAGGAGGGGGAGAGCGCTCTTCAAACACACCCACAATATCCTCTGGGGGAGGCGGAGGAGGCGGGGCGGGGCTGTCTGTTACTGAAATAGGACAGAGAGCAGAGATGGAGAATCTTTAATTTATTTATACAATGAGTATTATGTGTCAGTAAGAACTAATATAAGTAAAATAATGTTCTAGACTTTAAAGTAGCATACATATTGTGAAATATTTGTCTATATTGAAATCTATCATGTCAACGGACAGAAAGCTTGATGAACCCTGTTACTGTGGACTTTTATTTGTCCACTAGAGGGCAGCGTAGGACACTTTTTCGTCTTTACCGCAGTCCTCCTACAGCTACTACTAATACCATCACTACATAATACTACTACTACTACTTCTACTCCTGCTGCTATAACTGAGAGGACAAGGACAGGATTTAAAAAAATACTGAGGTCATTGAGTCCAACACTCATAGTTCATTTGTTTGCATATATTCACATTAGTACATCTCACCCTGTGTTACCTTGAATTCTTTAAGAAGCTTTGTTTCTCTCGCATGTCTTCAAGGTGAGAAATACATCAAAAAACTGAGAAAAGTCTGAAGATTTGTAATCAGATGTTTTGATATACTTTTGCTGTTGTTTAAAGCAGCCCCTATTTACACACCCCTATATAAAGACTTTATTCCTCATTCAATTCTCGGGTCACTGTGGAGGCATGCAAGAAAAGAATTTAAGAATTCAAGATAACATGGGTGAGTAAAGTAAAAGGTCAAACTGCTGGTTAAAAGCTTCTCCCCACTATATAATAAACATTTTAAACTTTTTAATAGAAATAATGTTTTTATAACTATTGTACCCTAGGGGATTTCTTCACATTTTTAAATATTTTATGTTTGTATTTTATCTTTTTTACTTTACATATGTTAAGATGAATATTTTATTTTTATTTGATCTTTTTTATTGCCAGTTGAATCTTTAGCTGTATATTTTTTTATATAAATATTTTTGATTTGATTTGATATTAAATGGAGCAACTCAAAACCCAATTTTTTCTAAATTCTCATGAAGAATGTTTAAAGCCTCTTTTACTATGGCCTCCTGTTCAGACATTCCCAAACTGTTATCATTTGTATTCCAGTTCCCCCCAAAAGTATTAGCAGTGGCGTTTTAAGCAGAAAAAAACCACCCTGAATATTCCCTTGATGTGTGTATTTACTCATACATGCAGGGTGTCTCTGTGTCTGAAGGCTAAAGGTTTGTTCACACAATTACAAGTGCTATATCAAGTGGGATTTGAAAAGCTTGACTCGGTTCTGACCCTCCGTCTGGTGCTCCAGTCTTATGTCTTTTAACATGTCAGCTTGTGAGTCTCCCTGCAGGATAACACCCAAAAGTCCAGTGATAAAACACAAACGACACCTCTTAACTAACTCATTCATAAGCCTGCTCTTAAACAGACTGCACCAGAATTGAATGCATCCCTTCGATTCGAAACCCTTTTTTACCGGTGGTCTAACAACTGACTTTAAATCTGTTTAACACTGAAGATGCTAAAATATATAACAAGAGCTGTCTGGCATTTTATTAGTCCATCCATTACCCCGTTAAGGTCTGGGCAAATTGTAGTCGGAAAGGACTTTATCTAAATAAATACTAACCAATACCGAGAAATAAATTAATCATAGAAAATTACAATTACAAAGACATCCTCTATTTAAAAAACAATTTGATAAGAGTGTGTTGGTACCTTTTGGTGAGTGTTATCCATTGTTAGATAGCTTCATATTTTGACATTTTTATTGTTGTAATTTATTGTAGTACATTGTGCACATTTGTACTTAACTTCTTGAACAATTATGTTATATAATATTATATATATATTTAACAAATGTATATTCTATATATATATATAGATATATATATATATATATTGAATTGTATCTTCTTTTTGCACCTTTTTACTTGAACTTCTTATATCTATATAAATATATTTGTATTTTATATTTGTATTTTATTTTATTCCGAAATGAACTGAAAGACAATCTACCAGGAAAAATATAGATTCTAAATCAACAAAATTAGCTTATTTTTGTTGGTGTCTTTTCAGCAGGTTAATTTGAACTGTGACACTTATGCCTTTATTTAAATGACTGTTCATTTTAACTGTATATCTCTCCTTCTATTTACATATGAATCCTTTTTCTAATGCAGAAATGTAAAATACTTCACTTCCTGTGTGCCAGAGGGGCTCTTCTAAGAAAGATTTTACACAAACTAGCAAAAAATAAAGGTAAACTGCTTGATGGATTTGATTTCAATCCTTTGTATAAAACGGTGTAAATGACTGGTTAAAGATTGAAGGGATAATCTACTCTTCATTGGACTGCGTGACTGATATGCAGTGGTGTATCAGTGTGGCAGCCTGCACTACGTTTGACCAGACGTCTACAGACAGTTAGAGGAGGGAGAATCAGGACACGGCATCAGGTCACATTTTCTCTCCTCAGTGGACAGATAGACAGCTTTTAGTGATCCATCGCCATGGCAACAGACAGCCGTCCGAGTGCCGTGAGCTCCCACTCGACCCCGAAATACATTACATTGCATTTAGCTGACGCTTTTATCCAAAGCGACTTACAATAAGTGCATTCGACCAAGAAGATACAAACTAGAAGAAAACAGAATCATATAAGTACATCAGGTTTCATAGAGCCAAAACATTTCAAGTGCTACTCAACTGGCTTTAGATAAGCCAGTCCTTTGTTAGTATATAAGTGCTTTGTTAGCAATTGTATTGCTCGAAGTGGAGTTGAAAGAGATGAGTTTTTAGACTGCGCCGAAAGATGTGTAAGCTTTCTGCTGTCCTGATGTCAATGGGGAGCTCATTCCACCATTTTGGAGCCAGGATAGCAAACCCACGTGTTTTTGCTGATGGGAATACAGTGCGAGAGAAGGTGTGCCGAGTGTAGCGAGCCACAGAGAAGATGTGAAAGTGAGGCAGTGTGTTCAGAGCTCTGATAAGAGGGGTTGAAAGGAAACTCTTTGATGATGATAAATGTCTCAATCACTTTTTTTTACGTATGTGGATGTATTTATTATTTTCACTTTATGGTCAGTAAAAAAACTTGATTTTGCGGAAATATAATACATTAAAGGGTGAATTCAAGAAAGCATTACACATGTGTGGCCGTTAACCTTTACTAATGAGACAAAAAAATTGATTATTTTCAAAGCACCTGCAAAGGGGGAAATGCAACCCTGACTGCCGCCAAGTGAAAAGCATGTTGGAGCTCCTGTGGTTTTTGCGTTTACTAAAAACAGGTCATGTGCAAATATTGAATACAAAACTCACCCCTTTCTATGGAAATGAGCCTCATTTCAGAAACAGCACAATTCTCACTAAGGCCCTGGCTCCACGAGGACGAAAACGGGTTGAATCCGCATATTTCTCATGCGTATAGCCCTCTAAGCTCGACGACGCCGTAAGGGAAACGTAGAAACAGACCCCGCAAACGACAACGGGTCCAAAGGTGGATAGATCTGGGAACGGAGCGCTCTGGGGGGTCCAACGGGGCCGTGGAGTCGCCTATACGGTCATTCGTTTTCATAGCCCCGCCTCTCCCCCGCAGGGTTGCTATCGTGCTCCAGTCGCTACTGACCATGCTACAGTTCTTTGTGCAACATCTACAGGAGCTCCTCCTTGAATTCAGATTATTTATCTTTATCTCGATATGGACATAAACGCGAGTGAAGTCTAATCTGACAGGACGGAGACACGCAGCTCCTGCCGCTGTGATGCAGCGGGAGAAAAACACACACTTCAAGTCAGATCATCACCCTTAGCTATTTTAATTACCTCTCAAACTAAACTAGTTATAAATATGTTCATTTTTACTGTCGGGTCACTCATTACTGGATCAGCTGCTGCATGAGACAGACACTGACGCTGTCAGAAGAGAGGAAAAAGAGACAGGCTCCGTGTATTTGATGATTATATATCAGTATATCGTCGTTATTCATTTGTTTTAAAGCTCAATAAATAACAATGAAGACCTTTGACCGGCACTTTTATAATTTTGTCCGGAAGATTTAAACTTTAACACACGCTGACCGGCGAAAAACTCTGCCCGGTTCCGTCGGCCCCCACCGCGGAGAATACACAGAAGTGCAGCCATGACAACCATTCTTCTTCGCTGCTTTTGTGGAGGAAGTTGCTGCTTTTGTGGAGGAAGTTACAGCGCCACGTACAGGTTCGGCATATGTACTGCAGCTTTTCCAGCGGTTTGGATGTAAACGGAGCCGTCTCGTGGAGCTTGACACAATCCGGTGTATATTGCGTGGGGACGGAAGGTTTTTTGCGGTTGCATTTGCGTTACTCCGATGCGTTTTGCCGTATTTGTCCTCGTGGAGCCGGGGCCTAATTGCAACACGCAGACATTATAAGCGTCTCCGGAGAGTTTGAGGTAACTTTGGCACCTTTGTAAGGGAAGTCACACTTTGAATTATGCAATCTACTGTGATGAAGTTATTTTACACTTGCAATTGTCACAAAAGTATTGCTTATCATATGTGTTTTGGATTTATTAACCTTGGAAAGCACTTGAATTTGGCTTGAAAAGGGCTCTTTAAATAAAAATATCAACAGCACGGACAGAGGGGGATTTTTTAATTTATTTAATAAAAAAAAAGAATGTGTATCCCTTCCATTTCAAACTCATTTACTGAACTTTTGAAGAATGCCTCTGCACCTCTTAGTCAAATCCTGTGCTCTGAGTCTGAAAACATTTTTTGTGTTCTCTTTGCAGGTGTTTTGCCTACTTCTGTGTTCCACTTGGATAATCCCATTAGAATAAAAAAAGGGTAAAAATGGCACTTGGCTGCAAAACTGTATAGGCATGTTTGAGCTCTCAGTAGTAAGAGAGCTCAAACATGCCTATATATAATATCATTTATACGACTTATTCAATTCATAGTGCTATAAGCATCCACAATACATTTCTTGTAAATTTGCCTATTATTATTTTATCCTGAAATTGTGTGAAATGTAAACTATGTGATTTTCTTTATGGAAGCATTATGAGATTTCCGGAAATGCACAGCAGTTATTTCCCACCAGTGAGTGTGCATATATCTGCATGCATATCTCTAAGTGCATGCACATGTTCTCCGTATGGATTTATTTCTACTTACTGCTCTCCTGCATTCTGGCCACAAAGCCGGTCAGAGGGATCTGTGGGGTCAGCTGCACCATGGGAGGAGGAGGTGGAGGAGCCACAGACACTGGAGCAGCAACAAAGCAGCAGAGAGACAGAGAGCGATGGAGGGATAGAGCAAATAGATGAGGATGAAAAAAGACAAAAAAAGCTTGTGAGTGAGCGAAACAGTGCAGGAAGCTTTGCTGAGCAACTCATTTACACATTTCCAATCAGTGTTCTTTTGTGATGCCTTCTTCAAGCTGGGCTAAAGAGGTATTCATCTCATCTCCGTCTGAGGATCCACCTCATCAGCATCCGTTTTTTATGTCAAAAGCAAAAAGCTTTAGCTAGTAATAGGTGTCTGCTGCAGTGAAAAGACTGCAAAGCAAGGTGACAGCTTAGTAGGTGTGTGGTAGGAATAACAAAGCAGAAACATGTGATCTTTTAAGGGGGGGAAAAGCAGGTAGAGCTCTGGTAATCTGATTTAATGCTATATGAAAAATGAAGTATCACTATTTTCAATTTTTAACCAAATACCTCTATATTCCAGGAATGAATATTCGTTTTTTCCCCAAAATAATAACATAATAACACTGTTTATTAATAATTACCGGCAATGTGGATTTAATGACTTAGTGGGAAAAGCAGATTATAAAACAGGTAATGTAGAACAAGTTGTAAAGTTGAACCACACAAACCCAATATCTAAGACGATATCTAGCCTCCTATCACCATATCGATATTTGATATATAATCGTTGTTCAGGAATGAGTTCTAAAACCATGAAATGAGTTCGCTTTTTACAGTTTCTGGTTTTTTGGTTGTGAAAGTCAACGTTTTTTTTAAGGTGTTTTCAGGTTTATGTAAAAATGGCGGTGGCCGACCAGTGACTCAATTTGAATAATTAGCGTTGTCATGCTAAATATTAGCTGCCTTTAGCTTAGCGGTTTTCATGTGCAGCAGTGATGTATTTTGTTTATAGCCTAACGTTAGCTTTTGACTTCTGGGGATTACATTTAAGCTTCAAAGATCATGAGATTGTCATGCTGAAAAAAACCTTGAGGTAACATAAACCTGTGTTTGCCACTGATCTTATTCGGAAATGGAAAAATCTCATTGCTTTTTTGCGGGAGTCCTTGCAATGCTAGCTTCTAATTTGGCCTACAAAAATGTTTCATCACTGCACCACTCTATCGCCCAGCCTTAGAACAGACAAACAAAGAGAAACACAGCTGTCCTCACTCAAAGACATGACGTCACACACACACGGCAGGTCTGACTCATAAATCACACGTAATGGAAGGGCGTCTCTGATCTGGCTGGGCAGTAATGTCTTGTTATTCCACCCTGCTCTCAACGCAGAGCCACATCCATCCATCAATGAGCTCCCTCGTGTACCAGAACTACCCGTTTGTGTTGTAACAACTCCTAACCCAAAACATATCTTCGCTCTTTGGATACATTTTCAATGAGTAGACATCACAGAGATAACTTGCTGTCCTAGTTAAAGTCCTCTGCAGTATTGTCTACTCTCAGACAAACAGCCCCTTCTTTCTGTGCCAGGCAAGACGCTTGTCCTTTGAGAGGGAGAAGCCATTAGAGGAGAATGTCTCAGAGTGATGCCTGCCAAAATACATTCTGACAGACAATATGCCCGTGTCCTGGGTTTCCCCTTGTCTAGCAGCTATTTATGTGTCTCCTGCCTGCCTGTCTCTCCCGGACAAGAAGCCTTCTGCAGCTGCCAAAAGTGATAATGTCATAACTCAATTACAGATGCTAATGTAAGACACTGCAGGCAGTGCTGAGGTGAGGAGGGTTCAGCAACCCCGACTTCATTCATTATGGTTCATAATTCTTTTTCATTAGCTTCTGGAAGAGCTAGCCCCATGCAATATCTTTTAGACCCAGAGATTGAGATTTAAGCAGTGGAGTGAAACTGAAAGATGCCAAGAATGGACTGTATAACATTAGTATTTGTAATAATAATGATAATAATAACTTTATTTGTAAAGCACATTTTGTGCAGCCCAAAGTGCTTGACAAAACAAGAGATACAAAAAACAAAACAATGAGTTAAAATAAGTAAAAATAATTATGCTTAATGCGAAATTTGGATATCAACATTTTAAGATGATAATAAGACTCATATCACTATATCTATATAATAACGACACATTGACCATCCATAGTTTTATCAAATTAGATAGATAGAACTATTCCAAAATACAAACCATCTAGTAAAGCAGACCATTTATTACATACATGAAGAAAGAAGGTATTTAATCCTAGTTACCTGGATTCTGAGGGTAGGCGGGGCCCCCGTTGATGTGGGGCTGCTGGGAGGAGACGGATGGTGCACGGCGATAAGTGCCGGTGGCCGACACCATGGAGGCCGAGGAGGTGGTGGAAGAGTTGTGGCGGGAAATTTGGCGGGAGATGGTGCCGAACTGGGACATTGGAATGGGGCCCAGGCCGGGTCCCTGAGGCACTGAGGCCGAGGATGTCCCCACTGCAGGAGAGGACGTTAAAAAAACGTTGTTTTAAGTGCCGACTTACTTAGAAGGTTATCAGTAGTTTGCACATACATTTTCAGTTTATTTCCATGCAGACTGTGAGTAAAATAATAAGCTGCTGCTGGAATGATAAGAGCATTTAAATTCAGGTTGCAAACACTACAGGGCTTAAGAGATAAAAAAAAAGAAAAAAGAAATGAACAAAAAACAATTTAATAAAAAACATTTATGCACTGCTCTAGTTTTCTTCCTTATCTTCCTGCAAAGGGCACACATTAAGTTAAAGTAAATTCAGTCCATATTTCAAGGAGTTACATAAATATAAAGATTAAGAAATGTTTTCCAGCTAAGATAACACGGTTCTTTTTATGTTTGTATTTGAAACCATCTAATAACTTAAGTTAAGTTAATGCACTACTGATAGTAAGATGTAGTTAACAAAGATGGATGATTTAATGCTACTAACCAAATCTAACTTTTAAGAACAAACATAAGGAACAGTTTTGACTCTTCAAATGTTTGTTCTTTTTCTTTAAATACATAAAAAACCTTGATTTGCAAACTGTTATTGTGTTGAGATAATATACTTGTTGGCCCATGACAGCTAATAGCTAACATTTATCGGCTATAATAATACTACTTATAATAACAACAACAACAACAACAAAAGCATAAATGTGCTATTATCTGCCTATAATCTATCGACCTGAATTCCCTAAATGAATGTCTTTACTAATTAAATATTTGATAAAGGTACATTTGTATGACATTTTATTGTATTATTAATAGCGTTGTCAGTCCAGAATTGATTCCCTTCTGTTTGACCTGATAAATGAGATCATGTTTGAGTGAGAAAAAATGCTCAGGACAAGAATAGACCAGAGTGGACAACTGAGGCCATTAGAGGACAAATGAATGTGTCTGGCTGCTGGGACTCACCTTGCCCCATACTGGGAGGGGAGGGGGTGGGAACTGCTATAGGGATACCGACTAAACTGCTTCCACTGTTCTCCCTGCCCCCACTGCCACCACTGCTGCCACTGCAGGGAGAAAGACACATTTAAGAAGAGTCAATGCGGTGATCATTATGTGCGAGACAAACCTAATTACATGACAGCGTTATACATAATACCATTACTCCCTCATATGTCATTCTGTCTCGTACTCTTGTCACTGTGGCAACAGATTTGCAGTTCCTGTGAATGCACCGTCTGGCACATTCACACATGAGTACTGGGCACAGATCTGGGAGTCACATTTGCAGTTACACAGTGTAACAAAAACACCACGAGAGCCAAGGCTTGTTTGGAGGAATCAAATTCGAAACCCAAAAACTAAAACTGCGGGAGTAATTACACTTTGCCTTTAAATGCAATTTTTAATGATGCTTTTGAGTTACATATTAGTGTATTTATCATACAAGCAATACAGATACAAGAAATAAACTATGCTTTCACAATAAAATCTTTTAAGATATAATGTGTGCCATGGAGTAATTTGCATTTTTAGGGACGTTTATCCCTAATTAATAGTAAGGCATTATTGAAAACAGCTGTGGGATAGTTTGCAAATGCAGGGTATAGAATGGCCTGGTAGTTTATTCAAAGTGTTCTTGGGCAAGTTACTTACATGTAACTCTAAATTGCTTCCGTAGGCATGACTACTGTATTGAAGTGTATGTAAGTTGCTTTGGATAAAAGCGTCTTCTAAGAGGTATACAATGACATGAAAAGACAATAATCAAGTCAATAATTGAAAATAACCATGTTACCTAAGTGCAGTAGTTAAACCAATGTAATAAGTTGCATTACATCCCTGATATTCACTTATTGGCGTGTATTGCGTTGCTTTCATCAGAGTAGAAAGTTGTCCAAATACCTAGTGATAATAAGATGAAATGTTTTTCCCAGGTACATTAACTCTGTGTTAAATGCAGGTATACGGACAGAGTGTGTGTGCTACCTGTGGGTCCTGGGCCTCTGGTTGAGCGAGGCTGTGCGTGCAGGACTGTTCTGGTTGCCCAGTCTGGCGGGGCTCGTCATGTAGTCGTTGGGCACCACTGGAGGCTTTACTGGCTCCAGGGTCTTGTAGGGAGTGTTACGCCTGGAAACAGATATAAACAGAGCCAAAGAGGACACCGTTTATTCTCAATGTTTCTATGAGTTGAGAGGGTCCACTTCTGGCTTTTACAGACACTGTTTACGGAACCATGGTCAGGTGGTCCTGGTGTTATAAACAACCATTGTGAAATGTAAGAATTGTCTTAAACTGACAGTATTAGAATGAAGAAGAACTAAATAACAAATGTTTCGTTATGTGAAAGAATATATTTAGTATTCTTGCACATATCTACTAAACACAAAAGTACAAACATTAGGCCACAAATACACATAAGGCCCAAAATACTTTATTAGAGAGGTGTTAGAGTTAAGTGGCTGCCATAGTTGACACCCTGGAGTACTTGGGATTTGGTGCCTTGCTCAAGGACACCTAGGCAGGTGAAAACATTTTTTCCCATCAGAACAGGGACATGAACCCAAAACACAACCTGTGACCATCTGGTGATCATCCTATGACCATCCAGTTCCCAAACCAAGTCCCTCAAGACTGAGGTACTGCCTGCCCCTAGCTAGCTGTATGTTCTTACCCTAGTGTACCACGACCAGCCATGGGGGGGCTCGGGGGTTTCTGTGTGGGTGGGGTGGTCCTGGAAAGTGTCCCTCCTCGTCCTGCTGCATTGTTCCCATGTTGCTAGAGGAGCAAAGACAAGTTAAAACATTGATATTGTATAATCATCCTGTCATCCTTGTTTACCATGCCAATGATTAAATCACTGTAAGAGGAGTCACTTAAACCTTTAATGGCCAAACTTGAATTTGTGTTACAAGAGTATCATGGAGAAATTGTACATGGAAAATAGGATGTAAATTGGTATATAGATGAAAATATAAAAAGGACATAGAAATCTGTAAAGATTAATAACTTCAAATGTTGAAGTTGAACCTATAGTACACTTATGGTAATGTTCACATCAAGTTTGTGACCTTGTTAAAGTGAAATGGGAAAAATAGAGATTCTGTATAATCATATGCTTTGTTTCCTTGTAATAAATTAGCCTTTTCTGGAATCATATTTGTTCCATGAAACCTTAACTCGTGTTTTTAACATTTGATATAATTGTTTATTTTTTATAAATGAAAGACTAGCAAGAGTTTTATCATGACTCACACAAGAAGATAAACATAACTATATCTTACCTTGGCCTTAAGCCACTGAGTGCAAGCGGGTAAAAGGGAAGACAGAAAACAAGACATGCTCATTGGTTAATGGTTTAGTTAATATAAAGGAAGTGGGAATTTTAAGCAGTATGCATGAACCTATTTTTCATTATTACATTTTTATATACAGTTACAAAAAAAGTTAAAAAAGCTTAATAAACAACAAAGTAGGTGAGTACAGAAAAGGAGTGAAAAACAGTCTGTAAAAAAAGTCTTGTTTGTTTACCAAACTCAATATTTGTCATATTATCTGTAAAAACAAACTCGGTCTGGGCTCATAATTATTTGTCTATGTTTCCTATTGAAACTCTGACACCTGCATGTTGTGTGTGTGTGACTTTACTCTGTGTCAGTGTCTAGACTTGCGTTATAGACTGTAATCAGAATAAGAATCACTTAAATAGCAACACACACTAGATATAATGAGCAGTACCTGACCTGCAAGTGGTTGTGCTGAGGCTTAAAGTGTTGGAAAAAAAAAAGGCAGGAAGGCGAGGTCATAAATAACAGCAGTGAGGTGTTCAGGCTGTAATGGGGCTGAAACCATGTCGCCCCGGTAACTGCCAGTAATGCCAATAAAGGCTGTTAAGGTGGAGGGGGTGAGCACAGTCATCCGTAAATGTGTGAATGGGTCTTTCCCCTGCTCGAGTCTGACTTCCCATCTATCCATGGGCGAGTTCCCCTGGTAATGTTGACGAAAGGCAAAAGGGGAGGGAATCACGCCTCGAGGGAAATCCACAAATGCCAGGAGGAAATAGACTGCTAATAAGATGGTATTGAACTTGCACACTAAAGCAAAAACACAGACAAACATTCCCACGCACAACGCTTTAATATACTTCTCAGAATATTGCACTCTTCTCACTAGGGTCTTATGCAATCGTGAGTATGAAATAATATCAGTCCTTATGAATTATTCACTAACGTGTGTGAGAGAGAAAGTGTTCTGGGAGGGAAATATGGATATGCATTTCCGTCTGTACCCAGCCAGACAAATGCACATCAATGAACAGAAATTCAGCCACAGACACATAAAACACATAAAAATCACAGAGAATTTCAAATGAACCAACCACAAGTCCTCAGATGTTTTCTTCCTGGCTAAAATGATGATCTTCATCGAAAAACAACCCAACTCGATCAAATGTAAGGTGCTGTCCTATAGAGTGGTGCAGTGATGACTTCCTTATGTGGGCTGACCGAATAGTTAGAATCGCAAGGGTTATCTTGACAAAAAGAAATGGGATTTTTCCATGGGATTTAGCAGATTACAATATTTTTCACAAACACGTTTATGATACTTGTCGGTAGTAAATAGTTAACGGTCGCATGACTTCATTTCATAACCGGAGAGTAGAGAAAAACATGAAAATCTTGTTGGCTTGCGTTAACCACATACCTTATTTCCGGCCTCTAACTAAAAACCCATTCAAAAAACCATTCACTTACAGATAAGGAAGCTTGGAAGTGCAAAAATGCTAACTTATTTTCAAGTTAAGAACTAATTTCTGCACCACTCTATCCCAGACTCAAAATAAGTCACTTCACAGATGTCTGAGTCATGTTTTTCTTAAGGATTGGCAGCATGATCGGCTGTTTTCTATGCATGTGTATATTTTCCAGCTTCTGGTCTGATCTGCTCTGATTTCTGCACAGATCCATCATCTGCAGCATCCATGAATGATGCTTCATTTGCATAGTGGGCCATGCCAAATCCGCCTCAGTGTGAGCCAGCTCTCTGAGGAGGGAACACTGGCTTTTTGAATTAAATCAGCGGATGTCTGAAAATCGGCAGACAGCCACTATCTCAATAGAGACAGACAGTGGGATGAGGAGTGCGACTCAAACAAACTGCGGAAATGTGTGACACCAGCACTCAATGCGCATTATGGTGTGTCTGCACATGCAACAACACACAGACTGTAGTATAAAAGAGGAGAAGAAGAAGAGGGGAGGTGGCGAGATGGATCATGGGGAGAGAGAATAAAACATTTAAGAAGGAGCCGGAAAAAGGTTGAAAGAAAATGTTCCCACAATTCAATAGAGAAAGTTGGGGTACAAAGAGGCCAAGATCTCTCACCCTCTTGCTTCTATACCCAAATGTCATTCAATTCCAGCTTGGTGAGTTGTAACGAGGCATAAACAAAAGCTCAGCCCCAGTCAGGTTCAGACTTCGGGTCTAATACTCGGGCGAGGGCTTGAAACATTTCTAGGTGTTTCTGTACTTAATTAACTAAAAGGCCAGCGTATTGATCGGCCTGCAGGGTGAGTGAATTATGAAAGGAGACGGTCGGCTTGTTCACATGGAAGTGGCGAGTGTGGACTTGACTAAGTGTGTGTTTTCCCGTCCAGCAAAATAGATTTACAGTGGAAATCAGGACGATACATCAAAGTAATGACTTTGGTATTTAGCTGCAACACTCTGCTTGCTGGAATAATGTGGAGGTGCATTTTAGAAAACCAGTAGCTTAATAGTAAAAAGAAACTAGGGTTAGGGTTGCTTTAAATATAAGTCAATTCATGCATTGAGATTAAGTTTGCTTGCACGGAAATCTGTTTTTTATACAGGAACAATAGATTTTTTACGACATAATGACCAATAAATGTCCTACTTTGACGCCATGTCCCACATCGTCCAGCAGCGTGTAGTCTATGGGCTTTCGAATATAGCGCACCGGCCGCTCCATGTTACCCGGGGCAATGATCTTGTGGGTGCGGGCTGTGTTCTTATTTGTGGTCAGGATGCCGATCTCTCGACGTGCCACCTTCTCCTTGTGGATATCCACCGTCTGCAGGAGAAAGAGAAACAAAGGGAAACATGAGTGGTTGAGTAAACAGACCTTTTTGGGTGTATTCCTCATATTGCACAACATTCTCTCAATGTATTGCAAAAGGTTTTGATAAGGGACATGCATGATTTAGAACCTTTCCCTGTTTTGTAGAGATTGGATTAATTATATTAAATGTCATTTCTTGAAATGTCATCCCCAGTGAGTATTAAACTAATTTGCTTTTGGTGAATACTTCCGCCATCTGTTTTGCATGAAAAGCCTCCCAGGGTCATAATCATCTCCCTCCCCTTACTTCAACACTGGTGAAAAAAAAAACTCACAAATTAGAAGAACAGCATGTTTTTATGTTTAACCTTTTTTTGAAAACCCAATTTAAAATGCTTGCTAGGAGCAACAATATGGTCACATTTGAAATTAAAACAGCTTTGGGGTCCCTCAGGGCTCTGTTTCAGGCCCATCATCGTTATATTATTATTACTGATATATTTACTATTTTCGCTGTATATTTATTGCTACCTTTCTAATATATTCAAGCATATTTATTATTACAATATTCCCTATCTTTTCAAGCATATTTGCTTGAATTACTGTTCATGGGCAAAATGATGTTGGCCTGTGCACAACTAATCTATATTTAATATCTGCTGCACTCTGCAATTACAGTTAAGCATTTCATTATTTGACCCTTTTAGTCTTTGTTGTGTGATAAAACAATTGGCATCAGAACATGTATTTACTGTGTATTAAAAAAAGATAATTATGCTTTATGAATGTCACACAGTTTATTCCTCTATGGCCTTTCAATTCCTGGCCACTCACTGTCTGAACACACACTCTGGGTTCATCCTTTGAACTTGTACTGACCCACTACTCTGCTCTATTGGCCTACACCCTGGGGCCCATTTGACGAGGCTCCCCTTTAACCCCTCGCACTGGGCGCACTTGGAAATACCAGTGACCTCCATTTCTTCTAGGATTACTGTCATTATTGCTCACAGCACCCATTCACAGCAGGCGCACTGCGGACCGGCCTTCAATTTATGAATGATAGATGAGACAGGAAGGAGTGAGGGATGACGGAATGGAGGGAGGGGAACCTGAGCGAAAAGGGTGGGCTAAAATTAAGGACTACGGGCGGCTTCATATCTGGACTACGAGGTCACCCTTGGGAGAAGAGTGCTGACGAGTGCAAGTGTTTCTAAGGCTCATGTGAGACATATAAGAATTAGGGCTGGGTGAATATGAAGAAAATCATATATGGTGGTATTTTTGATGAAATCTACAGATAATGGAATATTCAGAGTTATTAGACAACATCCTCTGGTTTTCACAATTCAGTCTCCTCTCTTTCTTTTTCCCCCTGATTTAATATACTATTTGTTACTTCCTTTATCCCCTAGAATTTGGGGAATGTAACAGAAATTGCTGGTAAATAGAGAAAACGACACCCCTTAACTGAAGGAAAGACAACACTTAGGATACCCAAAATCAAAAATGATATAACATATTTTATAAAGAGATAAATATAATACTAATATATTGCCCAGTCCTAATATAAATCCATTATAGTGAAGGGGCGGGTTTGGCTCAGGAGGTAGGTAGTTTGGTCCCCGTCAAGTCAAAATGTTGCAGTGTCATTGGACAAGATAATTAAGCCTACATTTCTCCTGATGACATGGCCAATGATGAGTAAATGTGTGTGAGTGTGTAAATGTTAGTATTACTGAGATGGCACCTTAGGGCAGGTTCTGCCACTATAGAATGGTAATTCGTATTTCAAAGTGATTTAAGGGGTCACCAAAACTGGAATATCGCTATATAAATGTACACCATTTACGTGATTATGATCATGCAGTACAATTGGTGTACACTGGGTTGTATGATTGTAAGAGACTAATTGAAATGAAATGAAACATATGAGTCTGTGTGTGAATGTATCTGAGGGTATTTTTTAAGTTAAAAGTGTGAGTGCGAGACCCACACACAGCAACAAGGTCACGAATCAATCACCACTCAGACATCTTATTCAGCCGACCCGACAGCACTCATATTGGAGTTATGCATAGAAACCTATCATGGCTTCCGGTTGAGAAACGTCTGCAATCTCGTGTTATCACTTTTCTAAAAAATGTCCAATTTAGCAAAAAACCACTGTATTTTTATGATCAAATAGTTTATACAAGAGACGAGCATGACCATAGGACTAGACAAGCTACATCAGGCCATCTACTGGCACCTAAACCCAGGACCAATCTTCTGAAATCTTCTGTGACTTATAGAGCTATAAAGGAATGGAACTCATTGCCAAACTACCTCGCTGAAATAGAGTCCAGAGTCTCTTTCAAGAAGAGATTGAAGGGCCATCTACTAATAACCATGTACCCTTGTGAGCTGTGATCCCTAATTTAATCTGATCTCATGCTTTGTACTGGTGGGTGTCTTGTGCACTCATCCTTGGCTGAGATTGAAGTTGTAAGTGGATGAGATTGTTGATGATGTGGGAAATTGTTGATGATATTGGTGATGTTGTTAATGTTGTTAATATTGTTAATGATGTCAGGAGTTATGTCTTGAATGTTTTTGTATTATTGTTGTATTATTGTTGTATTGTTTTAAGTGTCGGACCCCAGGAAGAGTAGCTTTTGTCAAGAGCAAAAGCTAATGGGGATCCTTAATAAACATAAACATAAACAGCTTCACTGCTGGAGATGAAGAGTCCAACGGAGAAATTGAAAGTCTGATCAAATCAGGTGTTGTGAAGTTGACCTGCTCTTAGTTAACTCTCTCTGTGGGTGTGACGTGAGGTCTGTGTGCCGCATGTGAGAGATATATATAGAGAACATGCTAGGCTCTTTTTTTAAGGAGAGGAAACTGAAGCGACACGCCCAACTTCAGCTGGGAAGTAAAGAAGATAAAAAAAGACCCGCCTATTTCCTGCCATTGAGAGGCGAGAAGAGGTGGAGTGCAGATTAGAGAAAGCGAGAAGAACAAAACCCGGAAAGGATAGAAAGGCACTGACTGTTTGAAATGGACGAGAAAATATAAAGAGAAAATGCAGTAATGTAAAACTAGAATCTGATTTGTGTGGGCTGTCATGATCAAAAAGGAAAAAAAGTTGAACATTTTAGGGCTTAATTTTAAGACGACATCTTTCTATGCACACATCTAATTTTCAATTGAAGAAATTGAGTTTGGTGACTTTGTGCAGTAGCGTTGAATAATGGAAGTTTGTCACAGTAGTCAGTTTCCCTTGTGAATTATTTTATTGTTTATCCTCGAGGATATTTTTTCTACGAGCTGAATTATCCACAGAAGTCTTTTTCTCTTAAAAACAAACACAATGGGTGATTATACCAATTAAATACACTGATTAAAAACATGTTATGTTTAAAATCAATGTTTATCAAACCTACTTTGGCAGATGTCAATGTTTGCTTGAATCGTTTCTTTGAGAAATTAAGATAAGATCCAGAAGTCAGATGACGTGTATCCTGAACATGAAGTCAAAAAACACAAAATAATCTATGTGTATTGTCAAAAATCTGGCTTTAAAAAAGTATAAAGAGTCCGTTTATTACCACTTCGGGCAGACCAATGACATATGACGCCATGATTATAAAGTTTGGGATAATGGAAGTACAAAACTCAACAAATATATAACATAGGTCTAGTTGTTTTTTGACATTTTAATGCAAAAATGTGTCATTGCCCATATTATGTCAATACTGTAATACCATTAAAGTACCATCTAAAATGACTCTTGAGGAGAAATTGAAGCAGCGTTTCAGGGGGCGTGGAACATTTCTTTAGGGGTTGACTGCAGCCTGGCAGCTTTATTTCAGAATTTCCTTTTAACGTACATTATGAAAAAGGAAGTTATCAAAATGAGGTAATCTTTATGAATTAATTGGACGCAATAACTGTTACCTAATCATGGATGACAGACCTCTCTATGCCCTTCCTCTGCTCTCAATCTAATTTGTTTGCAATATCTTTACTCTAATAAACATCTGCTCAACCTCTGAACTGTGTTTGTGAGAGCAGATGGTACATCTGTTATTTTCACTGCTGGATCTACATCGAAGTTTTATCCAAATAAATCTGTGTTTCAGCAAATAGTAAGTCTCTGCAGTAGAGTCGGAACAAGTTTTTTTACTCTTGTTGGATTGTTTTTTGGCAACAGGAAATTATGATGCAGTCTGTATCAAGGCGTGTCAGCAGATGTGTGTGATTTCATACATCAATGATCTCATATATGGCTCGGTAACAAGTCTACCGAGTCAGCCAGCAGACATCATGTTCCCTAATTATGAATCGCAAGTGTCCGCATCTGTGCTATTATCGTTTTGTGAACATTCGGATGTTATTCTAGGTACATTCTGCACTTGAGAGGATTTAGCGGGTTGAAATGAAGCAGAAAGAGGCACAAGTGGGTCATTGAGCTGATGGATGACAACTTCTGAGAAATACGTGAACAGATGAATCAGAAAACAAACTGGCAAACAGCAAGGAGGAAATGGAAAAGACCAAAAGAGACTCAGGGGAAGGTATCGCAACTGAATCCCAAGCACTTTTGTCGGTCACACGGAGAGGAGAATAATTTCTCTGCTTTGATTAAACACGTTGTTTTGCATTTAGTCACATTTCTTGGAGGAGTTTGTGACAGCCTCCTTCGCTTTAGGCTTTTAAATCCTACAGAGATGGGGCTTGGATGTGGCAGCAAGGTTTGGCTGCTACCTTCGCTCTCTAATCCCATTTGAACTCTTTAGAGTAACCAACCCAGGCTAAAGAAAACACCTGGCACAAGTTAGAATGCATTCCCTTGGACATATCCCTACTAGAATAATACATTCAAGCCCTTTATGAAATGCATGTTAAAGTCAATTCACTTTTCCCTTGATTTAAAAACTTGATTCCAACGCATCTGTGTGAAGGATCAAATTTGAGACAGCCAAAATGATTGTTTCTTGTGTGTTTAAGCCTATATAGTCTGTAAAACGTATTTAAATTATTATTACTGTAATTATTTTTTAATGACATTTTCACTGAAGATGTCCCCTATCTTTGCAATCAATGCAATTCTGAATGGGTTTTGACGTCAATTATTTTGTTAAACACTGAAGATGATAACATTAGCTTCAAACCATGTCTGTTTAATCAGAACTATTTTATTAGAATCAAAAACGAATATAATAAAGCAGCCAGCGTTTATCGAAGCTCATTCAACCATATCTATTGGATTGCCTTGTGTAAAGCGTTGATGGAAATCCGGAAAGGAAGCTTCTTCCAATAAACAGGTGTAATAAAAAAAATAAAAAACTTTGATGATGCATCCTGTTAGCTTTCATACTGCTCTAGTATTGTGCAATTTAGCTTCACTGGAACAGTCATATGGAAAGGAGACATTGTAAATGTATAGTTCTACTTTTACTGCTATGGCAAGTTAAAATGGCTGCTTTGAGAAAAAAGGTTTGATGTACTGTAAGTTTCTCTAAAGGATAAGTTAAAAAAGAAAGTAGAAAGAAAGTGAGGTCATAGAAAACTATTTCTGCTAAAAGTTAGCAATGATTGAGAGTCAGACCTAAACATTTCAGATGTGTGTATCTCAGACTGCACTGTAACTTGTATTCATGTACCTTTGTTATTCATGTTTTATTATCTTTGCTTTTAAATGAGTGTTTTTAAATGCCATTTTATAATATGTTTCTTAATGCTCTTAAAGGTGGGGTATGTAATTTATTTCAGAAACACTTTTTGTTATATTCCATGGAATGCTCTTAACATCCCGATAGCAATGAATATATGAAATGCTTTGACAATAAATACATACAAAAAATGTCATCTGTGGAAGCCGTGGCGCTGTAAAAAGCACGACCAATCATCTGTGCCGGCCCGGCTAAAATAACTGGATGGCCTACCTGCCTGTCAGCCTTCCATCTCGTGCACAAACTTATCTCGTGCCCTCATTGGTCATGTGCGCGTTTGTGTGTGTTGGAGGAGGGGCTCTATAAGGAAGTCTGAAGGAAGGGGCAGATTTTTTCCGGTTGTGTACTTTCAAATTCGAGCTGGTTCCTCCAAAATTACACACCCCACCTTTAATGTATTTCATTTTTGTAAAGCACTTTGAATTGCCTTGTGTTGAAAGGTGCTATATAAATAAACTTGCCTTGCCTCTAATTGACAAGAGGTAAAAAAAAAAAAAGCTTTCAGTAGCGACTACAGTCAAGTGCCAATACTGACTTAACCGTTTCTGTTCTGCAATATTATACATAGCCCTATAGAGCTATAGGATCTGAAGCAGAAATATCAAAAGGCCATCTAAAGGATCAATACAATACTTTATCTTCTGTATCCTGCACCTAATTGTACTCCATCCTGCAGCCTGTGGAGTAAAGCAGGAGCTAGAAATGCTAACCAGGCAAAAGAGAGCTGGCGTCAGGATTTTACTTCATCCCTGACCGGCTTAATGAAGCACACGGGGGGGACCGGGACATTCACTGGCTGACAGGCAGGGTGGCCGCACACAGAGAGAAAGAGAGAGGACTGCTGATGAAGCAAGAGCGACTGAAGAGCGGCTGTGGAGCTCCAGCATGATCCATGCCGCTGCCATGTCTGTCTGTCTTTATAAAGCGTGAATGGGCCATTGTGCTCTTTGGTGTTATGACACAGATTAATGCCAGCAGGTTTGTATTTTATTGTACTCTAATAGGTTTCGTTTTGAGATGACAATCCCCAAAGCCCACACCTTGATCCAGCAATATCCCCCATGGAAGGAATGGAAATCGTGTGTGAATAAAAAAAGTATTTCTGTCAGAGATGAGGAACTGGTGGTCAGTGTGACATGATGACTGGTATGGAAATGTACTTTATGATTTATGGGTAACAGGTAAAAATAGAGGAGGTTTTGTGTTTGCGGTAACATCCAACAGCATCAAGAAGCCAATTAAAAGTCGAAAACACAGGGAGATGTCATACGGATATGACTAAATATGCTCTATAAACTATAATGGCCTGCCTCTATCGTAGGCTTGTTTGGAATAAAGGCCTTGTTCTATATGCAGATGAGGACGCAATAACCTCAATATTGCAATACCACGTTATTGATTGACAAGCCAACAGGAAGGAATGACAAGCACTCACCACAACTACTAAATTAAAGTTTTTTTTTTTTTTTTTCAACTAGCAGACGAGGTTGAACATTTTTTTTTCTGGTTGCCAAGAGTTAGAAATTGTTCAACTTAAAACACTGTATTTGCTACTGTCCCGTTTACCCAGCCTTCTTATCACAGTGGAGGATCACATTCTACATGTACAAGTGTTGGTGGCGGAACGAACACACAGATTGGCAGTTACTTCCTCTAAACCTATGAACTTAAGACTTTTATATCCAAACAAGGGCCAAAGCAAGTATGGAACATTTGCTTGTGCGGATACAAAGCATCTAAGCTGTAAAAAAACAAACACTGCACCTTTAATTATCTTCTGTTTTCTGCATTTAACAATACACAACTCTTCAATCGATCTTAAAACTGTGTCTACTTGTCATTTAAATGTCAACAATATACATACCAATAGCCTAACAACAAACCTTATTATATTAAACAAAAATCTGAAAAGTATATCCAAAAACAAAACTGTTCAAATCAATCAATATCTTTAATCTCAGGGGGGAAATCCTTTACTGTGACACCCCTACCTGGGAGATGTGGTTGATGGAGGACTCCATGCGTCGCAGTTGCGAGGCCTGGATGTCCAGCAGCTGCAGCACATTGTTAGCTAAGGCATTGATCTGGTAGGCCACACTGGCCAGAGACTGGGTGGTGTAGGCCTTGGTCTCCTCCAGGGCCTTCTTCTTGTCTTGAGCCTAGCGGAGAGAGGAAACAAAAACACCGAAAGTCAGACAAATATGTAGAGGGAAGTGTTGGTAGACGAAAGGGAGTAGTTGGCAGAGGGAAGTAAGGTATAAGCTCCAATAGAGTAGTGCAGGAATGAGCCCTAAAACCAAGAAATGATTTAGCATGGGAGCTAGCTTTTTACCACATTCAGTTACCTCGTCTTGAAGTCAACGTTTTATTGAACGTGTTTTTCAGATGTTGTTGACACAAGCTTCATAGACTTTTACGTTTTGTTAAATACCCCACTCGTTAATGTCCAAAGCTACTACGTGTCGTATAAAAATGCATGACTAAATGAGATAACGTCATCACGTTGAACACAAGTCCACCTTAAGCTTAGCGGTGTTGAAGTAAAGTCATGTAACCGGGATGTAGTTTGCTTATAGCCAACGTTAGCTTTTTACGGCTAGCTATTGCATTTACACTTCAAAAATATCATTAAAGTAGTGTTATATATTGAGATAAGCCTGCTAAACAAAACATGTAAGTATCATGAACGTGTTTGCCTACAAAACTGCACCATTCTATCAAGCTCAAAAGGAAATGCTACAATATCATCCCAATCAGTTGTGTGATCAGTGAATAAGAGGGCAGATTTCCACAGAGAACTATATTTGACATGTTTATTCTCAGCTGTACTGCGAAGATCTGAAGGGAAAATGAACAAGAGTTCACGATTCTCAAAGGAAATGACTTTGTGGAAGCAAAGCAGCCTTGAATTGGACAACAATAACTTTCGAATAACCCAGATGGGCAACATGGGACAGGTGCACGGTGGGAGCTGTGCCCAGTGAGCAGGAATGCCAAGACATTTCCTAGGATCCCAAATCTCCACCCGGCTGCGTGAACCATCTGTTTCTGGAGGCCTTTAAATAGCGAAGGGACCGAATGGACATAGTTATAGTTTGGAAACAAAACAGTGATAATGGAGCAAATGGAGCCACACCAACAGGGTACAGTTGGTCTTTTGCAAAAAACATGAAGCAGTATTACAACTAGGGCTGTGCAATTAATCGTATTTTAATCGCAATTACGATTTTGGCCTGCCACAATTACGAAAACAACATAATTGAAAAAACCAAACAATTATTTTGCTTTGCTAGGTTGTGACAGTGCACTGCAACATATTTGATCTAATTTATTTTTGGTCTAATTTATTTTTATTTATCATATTTATATATGTTTAGTAGCTTGTGGAAGTGCGCTCCAAAATATTTGTTGATCTTGTTTATTGGTATTTATTATTTTGATATTATTTATTTAAATGTAATATAAATGTATCATTTATTTTTATTTTTATTTTATTGGTTTTTCAGTTGAATTATACGTTCAGGGTAATCAACAGTTAAAAAGATACTGTTCAAATTATTATTTGTATTTGTTTTAAAGGTCCCATGTCATGGCCATTTCCACTGATCATAATTCCATTGTTGAGGTCTACTAGAATAGATTTACATTGTTCAATTTTCCAAACTCACATTGGTTTCTCATACAGCATCTCTGTATAGTATGTGTATTCACTCTCTGTCCTAAACGACTGGTTGGAGCTCCTGCCCCCCCCACTCCCTGTGAGCCCACTGTGCTCTGATTGGTCAGCTCGCCCACTCTGTTCTGATGAGTCTACCACCGTTACAGCGGAACATCAGTGATTATGTTTTACAATGGCGTGGAAAATGACACCAGTAATGACAAACAGATGAGAATGTTGCGTGGGGTCTGGGTGCCGTGTTGGCGGGACGTTGCGCGGCTCGCTGCTGTGAGGAGCGGACAGGGTGAGCTGGGTGGGGTCTGCGAGACAGCGAGACATCGCAAATGGACGCGGGAAGGGGTGGATGCTGAGGGGGCTGCAGCACCCCCATCTGCGAGGCTCCACTAGCACCCTCTTATTATTTTCAATATGAATAATTCCATAAATGTATTTTTTTCATTGATAAATTCCTCATTACGCGTTTTTAATAAAAAAATGCCAACCAAAAGTTAACAAAGTACGTTGTATTCATTTTAATCAAGATGTATGGAATGTGTATAGTATGTCATGTATGTAATCCCCAACCTTATATACTTTTTTAATTGATATTTTCAACATAAGGAAAACATATATATGCCATATAGCCTAAATGTACTCTGTATTTGACACATGGCAGCTACTAATTTCTAATAATAATTGAATAATTGTTACTATTTCCTGTTCTTATGCTAAGCTTATCTAATTATCTTTTGGCTGTAGTTTAATACTTAATGGACCGATGCCGTGTCAATACCCCCATCTAACACTCCCCAAAAAATGTTTTTAAAATGTCAAGCTATTCCTTTAAAAGCCTGACCCAGTTTGATCTATAACTGTATCTTAAGCTTATCAGTCACTTTGAATATTTTCCTATCCATAGGCTCTAATCCAAAATCATATGAATGCCACAAAGACATCAACCATGATCTGCCAGCTGTTACCTGGCAACAATTTGGTCCGTGTGTGGTAACAGGAGGTTAACAGCCTGCATCATGTCACCAAAAAGGGCCATCTGCCCACCTGGAAACCACCTGCAGCCCCGAAGTCTTTAGTATCGTAAATCTTACTGAATGTGATGTCTTTCACAATGCCTGTTTATTGTATAATGTAGTAAATATGCTCAATGACAGACTGTGCCACCTTATCCTGACTTATTTGCCATTGCATACTAAAATTAGGGAAAAAAAACATAAATGTACCAGCTTTAGTGTGGTTTGCAGAAATCCCCAGGTATGCTGACTAATGTTTCCAAAGCCATGTACACAGACTACTGAAACTGATTGCAAGGAGCCACTTGACTGAAGGATATATATATATAAACATGCTTATTACACGGCTTAGGTGAATACTCGATTCTGTATACTGATTCTCTCTCCTTTCTTTCTCCTGCTTTCAGATATTATGTTTCATATTAAGCTTACAAAAGGCTTCTTCTAAGAGTTTCACTTGGAACTTCTTTTTTGTGAGACTCAACTTTAACAGTGCACTGAAGTAATGCAATTTCTGGGTGCCAGGTCATACTGAGCTCCAGGTTTGACACCTTCCTGAACCTCATGAGTCATGATGAATGGCTGTGAGTTAGAGGGGTATCATGTGAGCAGCCGGGGGTGAGGAATTCTGAGGGGGTCAACATCAGGGAAATATTAAGTACATCCATGGGTTTCCATCTAACACCCCTTTACTCATACATCTTTTTATAGAGTGGTGTAAGAATATAATGCGGAAATCTGTTGGAATTTTGGCACTTCAGGTTCACTGGTCCCGAACTGTCAACTGTTTTTTTAAAAGATTTTGGTTAGATTCCTAAAATAATGTTTTGCAAGCTTACAAGATTTTCATGTCTTTGTTTTACGACAATATCCAAAGCCAATAGCCGCTTTCACACCAAGTACTTTGCCGTACTTAGTGCCAGCACTTAGTGCCCCGGCACTTAGTACCCCAGGGCACTAAGTACAGATCGCGTTCACACCGGAATATGTTCCCTGAGGGAAGATTACGCAAATGAGCCGCTGACGTCACTTCGTCTTCTTCTGCTTTGGGTTTACTGGCAGGCCGCAAACAACTTCACGGCGTATACTGCCGCCCAAAATCCCCGGCCGGAAGTCCCCGGAGTTGGGGACTGGCTTCAGTAGAAGCTGCTGGGACTCCCAGCAGCTTCCACTGAAGCCTTCCGAGTAAATCGCCAGAACGCCGACACCTCCTCATCACTCCACCGCTCCCATGTTTTATTTTGTGTTTCCATAAGTTATTCTCTCTCCGTTGGTGCGCGGGGCTAATGCTAATGCTAATAATGCTAATGAGACAAATACAATGGCGGCTTCACACAACTTTTCAGAGTTTTACGGGGCGTAGTTTTCAATTCGCCCAGCCAATAGAAATTGGTACTTTTTTGGTACTTTTTTGGTACCACCTCTCTAGCAGGCACTAAAAATGGGGGTAAAAGTTCCCGGCACTAAGTACTCTTTTTGGTGTGAACGCAACATAAGGGGTACTAACGGAACTAAACGGGAAAAGTACGGGGAAAAGTACTCCGGTGTGAACGTGCCATATGTGTCATAAAAAACTATGGTTGCTAACATGTGGCCAAGTGAGACCACTAAAGGTCAAAAAGATTAACCTTAGCAGCATTTAGCTTAGCGGTGACGTGAAGTCATGTGACTGTCTTGAACGTTGGCTTTTTACTTCTGAAAATTGCATTTTCGTTTAAAAATAATAATAAGGTATTGTTAATATGTTGAGATTATCATGCCGATCAAAAAGTGTAAGTATGAATACTTGTTTGCTATTGAGCTATTTTTCTGATAAAATTCAAAAGCCAATGGAAGATTGAAGTAGAGGGAGGCCTTGAACTGCTAACAGAAATACATCATCCCTGAAGCACTAAATTGAGAGGAACAACTGTTTCTCTTTAACTTGGAAACCAAAACTGATACTGGCTGGTCGATCTAAAAAGTGCCACTCTTACATATTGATTTGCACGTTTTAGGTTTTGATATGCAAAGCTCACACTTGAATAATATTAAAGTGGTGTTCATTTTAAGATCCAGCATTTTTGAACGGGTCAATCCAAAAACAGCACTGTTCAATGTTACACCAGATATCATAGAGGTGCTATTTTGGTATACAAAGGCATTTCGAAGGGTACTAACAAAGCAGAGTTCTTCTTTCATGCCACCAATCATTTTGTCGGCGACAGCTTTTCAAATGGATTACTTATATATATATCTAATCTAAGAATAAAACTCGTATTTTTTCCAGCATAGGAGTAGATTTACATATCAAGGCATGCACTGCCTGGGTGTTATTTTGAGCAATTTTTGGTATGCAGGTCAATGGTGAATGCATAAACTGCGTTTTTTAAATGTTAAACTAAGAATAGTGTTTAGAACATAGTTACATACATCCAATAGTGCACTAATGTACCGCTTCCTCACTCTTAACTCCCTGTTGTGATGGTCCAGTGTGTTCTTATGCATGCACAATCCGAGTTAATGTTTTTACTGTCCCTGAAGAAATTGTCATGCTGCAGCACTAACATACAAGCATCTTCAATATTCCAGGCAATATTGTAAATATTGCAGAACGTGAATGAGACTACATTACATGGTATTGGAAATCACCAGAGATGCATTACATTACATGTTACTTGTTCGACGCTTTTATCCAAAGCGACTTACATACTCAATACTGTGGACAATCCCCACAGGAGCAATTTGGGGTGAAGTGTCTCAGGGACACAACAACATGCTGACTGCAGTGGGGTTTGAACCTGTGCTCCCCTGATCCGAACATCAACGCACTAACCCACTACGCCACACGCCCCCCTGTAAGCGTATGATAAGCACCATGCATCCACTTCTCATAAATATATTAAGAAACAACCTAAGCATATTAAATAGTATAGGATGTGGTCAATGGAATAACTTAATTTTCTCAAAGAAAATAAACCCCTGTGTGTTGCCTACAAATGTATATCTTCCTGACAAATCTTACAAGATTTAAATGGGGTTAATTAAACTTATTTGGACTTATTTGCATAAGTGCAGCTCTTTTTAAAAAAAACTGTATATTCTGGACCTTTAATAATATCATGGCACTCATACAATATACACAGTATCATGTATGGCTGTATTACATGTTGGGTTTACAGACATGGGTAATCAGATGTCATGAGAAGGGACATTATTTTTTTTTGGACAGTTGTGCTAATTTCCTGCCCTGCTTCTTGCAGTTTAATACTGCATTTGAGGGCATTATGAATCAGAATTTTTGGGGGTAAAGGATGCATATTTCCTCAGATTGTTAGGTTTTTATCCAATAGTTTCTGAATGAACACCAGTACATTTCTCCCTAGGGTCAAGCTAGGTGTTTTCACAAGATGTAGTCAACCAAAATTATAATTTAATTTCCATCCAATCATCAAAATTACTGAAATGTTAAACATCCCCTAGGGAACATGTAAAAAAAAATCAATAAATCAGCCATACGGTTTAACCTCTAACCCACTGCTTCTAATAATAGACACGTTTAGCAACAGAAGATATGACATTTCCACCGAACTAACCACAAAGGAAGTAACTGTGAGAGACCTAAATAAAATGTCATAACAGCAATACCTTTGAGCTTAATATTAAAGTTCTCGGGTAACTTTCTGCACAATAATACAGTATATAAGCAGTGTAACCTACATTGCTTTCTCACCACCAGAGTCAATAAAAAAGACCATGCTGGAGCACAGTAGCGTTTCTGTCAACAGACGCTGCTGTTCACACCACATCATTTAACCTAGTGATGATATATGTTAGCTCACACTCCACTTTAACTGAAACAATTCTCACTGTGGCAATGTAACAGAGCGATGAGATTTATTGTGAGGGACTCTTCTGGCTAGAAATCTTCCAAATTGTTTCAATATTTTATACGCGCTAGGCCATGGATCATTGAGATTTTGTCTGATGGAGACCCCCAAGAAGACCCCCAATCTGGAAAATGTTGGTGTTTGCTGCTACACATATAACATTATTTTGAAGGTGTATTACCCTCTTTAAAACAGTTACTTGCATTAAATAAATAGATCATTAATCAAACGTGTTCACACTGTGCTTCTGATTCATACTTTCCCTAACACTGATTTAGCATTCAATCCTAATATGCAAAAAGCAGCAGACACCTGCACCTCAATGCATTTGATTACAAGCAAATGATCCATTAACATGATCTGGAGCCATGTTTTCAGCACTGTAGCAGCAAACACATGATATGTCTGCATCATGAGCAGCTTTACTACACATCTAGGTCGTTTTTTCCCCCTAGAAGTCTATGAGGACTTGGCCCACATAATGATATGCACTAATAATAAACAACTTACAGATCCTAATGTTAATGGCTAATGGGAAATCGTTATAGCATGACTAGTGAGTAGGGTAGTAGTAGTATGGTCTGTACTAAACATGCTACAGTTAAAACCAGTTCATAGGGACTAATGGTATGTTTCTAAATGCTTTTCGAGGGTAATAACACACACAAAATGTTACTTACAGTGTTGGAACTGTTAGTTTTTACATTTTTCACGAGTAACAATGTCTCTTTAAAGGTTTCATTGGCAGTGTTTGCTTTATAACGCTGTTATGTGGACCAAACGCCTGTCATGCAAAAATGGAAAATGAACGCTAATGTCGAAATGTATAAAAATGCAGGGGGGAATATTATTTTGTCAGAGGTACCTATCAGAGAATGTGACAAAACCACTTGGTCATAACAACGACACACCCTCTGTAAGCCCCCAGCAGCCTTCAACACACAGCCTTTAAATGTGAGCACGTCTCCGGTAAACCGCAAGGACTAGCTAAAAAAGAGAAAATACCGAAATGCAGCCATGCCTGATAACACTGCACTAAGCCACGACTGAATTATTATACCGGGAGAAAAGGCCACTACGTGTAGTTAGCGGTTTTAAGGATCCCTTTCGTTGCGACCAGCATTTCCTGTCCCTGTGGTTTCACTCACTTCTACTAAAGCACCGCAGACACGACGGAGAGAGCGGATAAAATTACCACATTTAACGGTGGTTGGGCATCTCTTACCTGAACATAATTGTTTTCACAGTATTCCGCAACCTTGGACAGGTTCTGGTAGCTTTCCACAAGCGCTCTTTTACCGGCAGGGATTTCCTCCTCTAATAGCATTTGTAGCTCTGCCATCTTACATCCCTTTGCATTTCTCTCCTCTCTCTGTCCTTTTCATTGAGGCGAGGCGGTGATGCTCTGGTGTGTCGCTGAGAGAGGGGCTCCCCCGCCTGGCATTGTGGGGCCGCTGGCCTCCGATTCACAACAGCCTGTGACAAATGGCAGCTACGTCACAAACGTCGGCCGGTGATTGGCCGAGAGGCCGAGGAGAAGAGCAACAAACCAATGACATTTCACCGTGATGACGTATGAGTCCATAAAATAATGTTATAATAATAGCATTAATTATGATGTGTTTTTCTATTATTGGCATGACATTTTTCATATAATTATTTTTAAAATAAATTGTGTAAAATAATTTCTTGCAGAACTTTATGTATTTTTCTTTTCATGGCTTAATTATATTGTATGTTGCATTGTGGCACTGAGGAAGAGTGTATATCTGATAAATTGAAGATAATTTCATAGTAACACAACGTTATCATCACATATGTCCATTAAATAGTCATCACAATTAATAAACTTAGGTTGAATATATATATATCCTAATAACATTTTGGAAGCCTTGAACATGGTATAAACAGAACAGTACTAGCCTATTAAATTATTAATGACTTATTTGATCAAATAAAAAGATAACATTTTACAATAAAACTTCTACACTACCGTTTATATATCAACCTACATAATACCCACAGAAGACTCATGTGATTTATTTCGATAATTATAACATTTAAAGTGCACAATTAAAATTGAAATATGTACTTAAGTCCGTGTAGAGTATTTCAACATATGTTGTGTTAACATATGTTACTGTTATGCTTACTCTACAAGAAAAAACCTCACGACACTACATTTCCCATAAACCACCGCGGTTTAAATCCCGGCACAGAGGGGTTTGTGGGATATGAAGGATTCAACGTCACGTTTTAAACACAATTCACCGAAGCTTTGTTTCATAAAAACTACATTTCCCAGATATTTTCAGTATTCAAGACGTTGCTTGGCTCATCCTTGACCCGAGTCGGAATTGGCTTTCTGCTACATATTGCAGACAAACACCGGGCTAATGGAATAATTAGAGCACCGGCGAATATGAACTTTGTGGTGAGTGTCTATCAAATCAAACACATCAGGAATCCTTCATGTTAAAGCATAATATAGTGTATTCTCGCTGAACCGACAAGGGCTAATTATATAGACCAGATTTATCCGAACATCTCCCAGGTTACAGAGGAAACAGTCTTCCTCCTTAGATAACACAAGTGGCAACCAGCTGCAGTGATGTCAAATTGTGTGCAAGTGTCCCTCCCTGTAGACTTTTTGCACTATTTCCTCATTAATTGCTTTATATTTATGTTCAAGATGTGAGGACTCCTTCATTTCCTCCTTATTGGGACTCAGCATGGCGGAGGAGGAGGACAGACACAGCCTGGAGGCGAAATTTGTTGCAGCAGTTAAAGTGATCCGGAGTTTGCCCGAAGATGGTGAGGACTTATTTTGTTACTGTATACAATTCTATGAATGAAGTTATGTGCTGTATGTTGTGTCGGTGCTTGTGTGTGTGTAAACACTACAGGTGATTGACCTACATGCAGAGCTCCTGTCTGGCCCTCTATTGACAAAGCTGCTATAAGGATAAGAGCTGATTAACTGTACATGTAGTTTCTCAAGTCTAATAACAACTCTTGTAGCTCATGTTGGGTCTCGGAGAAGATAAAAATGTCAAGCTGCCTTGCAAATCTATTTTTCCTTTTGTGTTGGAAATTATTTTTGAGCAATAATACTGGAAAACAGAAGAAAAAAGGGATGCTGGAAGCCGGAACTAATGTCTTACGACGCTGGTTGGTTTCAATTAAAAGGTTGTCCAAGGGAACAAGTGTATAGGCTGTATGCCATGAGTTCTGCCAAACTTTACCTGGATCTGCATATTTACCTGACTCTAGTACATTTACTCTACCATATTAAAGGGGCCATATTATGCTAATTTGTATGTTGTGCCACTACTATGACATGTTTACATGCTTACATTTTCTAAAAGGTCTTTATTTTTCTCAAACTGCCTGTACTGCAGCACCTTTTTTCACCCTCTGTGTGAAACCAGAGCCCAGTCGACTCTGATTGGTTAGACCAGTCTGTTGTGATTGGTCAAACACTTAGAGATGTCCCGCCCCTATAGGCTATCAAGTACAATGTGTTGGAGCGCTAGCCAATAGAAGTGTGAGTGTTGCGTAGTGATGTCACTATGTTACAGAAGAAAACAAATGAGTCAAATGGAGATGTTTCATGCAGGGGGGGGAGTATGTGGGAGTGAAACTCCCTCTGGAGGGAACTTTGGGGATTTTAGCCTTTGCAGACCATTTACATGCACAAAAACCTATTTAACACACTTGTAAAAAAATGCCTAAAGTCTAATGTTTGAATATATTAATGTATGTATATTCTAATATATAGGAATAAGCTAAAAACATGAATTAACATCTTTTATAATTCTCTTCATTTCTCAGGTCCGTTCCAGCCCTCTGATGACATGTTGCTGATGTTCTGCAGTTACTATAAGCAGGCCACCTTAGGGCCATGCGACATCCCCAGACCTAATGGATTCTGGGACTCTCATGGAAAAGAAAAATGGTACTTATATTGATTTAATTAAGAGGTACTGCTCATGCCACACAGTAGAATGACAGTAGAGTGCATGTTATACACTATCATTTTATACTATCAGAGTCTCACTTCCTGTTTATTTGCAAAGGGGCTTAACAAGCCTGACATTTTCCAACTTCATAGCTCATTTAAAAAACCATTTGCTACTGCAAAATTGTGTGGGTATATCTCATGGATAATCCTGCAGTAAAATACAGCTTTTAATAGTTTAGTGAGTTTTTTCCAAAATTGAACATCGCTGCAACTGCATATTGTTAGTCTTTCAGTGTTCACTTTGTGTTACCAGGGATGCATGGAGCTCTTTAGGAAATATCACAAAGGAGGAAGCCATGAAGAATTATATTGAGGATATCCAGATGGTAAGTCCATTCAAGAAAAAACAAAAATTGAAAAAAGGCAACATTCATTACTGTACACACCTCTCTTTATGTTGATTTCATGACATATTGTAGTGGGAAAAGTGTGCGGCCCTATCACCCTGTATGTCTATTTATAATGTGTAATTATATAGGCGGACCATTTTTCTGGGTCTATAAGGCTACTTTTCCTTCTCTTCCTTACTTTTTTCTGGTGCCTTATTGAAAATCTTGCTTGTGTTTTTGTGACAACTTGAAACTCTGCATATTTGAGCTTTACCGTTATTACTTTTGTGTGTTTTCAGATTTTGGAGACCATCCCAATCTCAGATGAAGTGTCCGACCTGGTGCAGAAGCTGGGCAACTTCTACACAGATGGAGAAAGAGAAGAAGGAGAAGCTGAAGATCATGAGGTGGACAGCAGACCCTTCACCAGGCCTTTTGCAAATCATGCAGGTAGTGTACAAAATCAGCCATGCCGTGATGAAAGCAGAATACCATCCATGGAGAGCACTGCTGCTCGAGTGATACGTTAATCCTCTTTGTTAGACACACAGATGACTTTTTAAATTCTGAGCCTGTCTTACTTGTGTTTTATCACTAGATGAGCTGAACAGGCAGCTTAAGAAACCGACAATGGAAGGCAAGTCTTTGGTGTTCGCAGTAGTTCTAGAGTTGATAGATCCCATAGTAAGGGTATTTTAACCTAATTAAGTTGCTTTCATTGTTTAATATAATAGCTCAAAAGTGATAAGTGTACATTGTCCTTGGATTTAACCTGAGGAAGTGTAAGAAATACGTTTTTTTAAATGAAAGGAGTGTGTAATTTGTGACGTATGTGCTGTAGTTGGTCAGTGTGTTGGCTTTTTGCTTGGTGTTGATGTTGTGTGTCGGAGCCGTGGTCCATCAACTGTGTGTACTGTCTCTGTTTGGTGTAGAGTAACATTGTGTGATGTAATACTTTGATAAAGAGTTAATCAATAGTGTTTCCCTCATCGTTCAGGCTATGGGGATCTGTGGGATGATATACAGAACGTCCATGAAAATGACAGCACTGTTCATGGCTTAAGTGTCAGTAGCGAGGAGGCATGGGGGAGCAAGGAAAATAGTGAAGTGGAGAGAAATGAGGAAAGTAGTGATTGGAGGAAAAGTGAGGAAGAGGATAATGGAGATGAAGAAGACAATACAGAGGACGAAGACGAGGAGGGGCAGGAGGAAAAAGGTACTGTCTCTAGCTGTAGCGTTGTTGTGATGTGAAATGTGCTGTGTTCGTAGTGAGTAGTTTTTACGTTATGGGTGGAGGTATTCTCTGTTTTTTAATATTTCCCTTGGAAAAACGAAAGCAATGCCTGATAAATATTATTCATCTGTTCTTTAGAGCTCCAATGAGTCTACCAAAAGCACATCAATGTTGGACTGGGTAACATGTTTCTTCATTAACTCGTACAGATATAGAATCAGATAAATCAAAATCCGTTTTATTGTTGATTAGATTTTCACAAACAAGAAATGTCCTTGTTTTTTTTTTTACAGCACTTAAACAAAGAAAGATAAATTAAAGGGGCCCTATTATGCTTTTTGAATTGTCCCTTTCCTGTAGTGTGTTGTAAAGTTGTTTGTGTATGTAAATGATCTGCAAAGGCCAGAATCCCAAAGTTTGTCTTTCACACGTTCTCAAACAAATTACGAAGACATACTTTATCAAATAAGTTTAATATATCTGAATTAAGATCAAAGGGTTGTGCCATTTCAGACAAACTTATTTTGTGCAGAAATATGCAAGTGTATCCCACATTCATCGTTACTACCAGAAATACTCACAAGTGTACCCAAATGTTTTCTCACGCCGCAGCGGAAAATAGTCCCTTACAATTATACAGTTTACTCTTGTATGAGTAACGAATGTTACTTTTTAACATATGTTAAAAATGTCTGACCCCGATTGTTTTAGCAATCTACTTCGCCTTGTTGTGAAAGTGATTTGAATATGTGTGACCTATTTGAAACCTTAAACAATCTCTGAAGAATGCTAAGTTTTTATGTAGCACATTTTAATTATTAACGTATGCACTACTTTCTTTTAATTGTCCTCTTTATTCTTAGTTTAAGTAGTAGTAGCAAAATAACTTTTTTATTGTGCTTTTGTGCTGTGTTCAGCAGTTTATCAAAAACTCTTTTGAACCTTTTTTTATAACATTTTGTCTACAATGACAGTGACACATTTGAATGCATTTCAAGGGTGTAAGATGTACATAGTGTCCAAATTCATGTGATGTATTATCCCTGTGTATACATTCATATAAACAAGAACAGCCTTTCCATAAGATTCAACAAAGTATTTTTCACTAAATACATCCACGGCAAGTTATGGCAAGACACAGGGCTCATTAAAAAAGAACTGCACCTTTTTCTCACTGCATGCGTCATACTCTTTCTCTCTTTTTGTACTGTCTAAGGTTGGAGGCCTGACCCGACGCTGCTGATGGTGAACAAGAGGTGGAGGTCTGACACCAGGGGGTCCAGCAGCAGCATGGAGCCCAGCGTGTGCTCCTTCACCAACGGGACGCACAGCTCCCTCAACAGCGAGGTGGAGGAGGAGGAGCTGGCCTGCTCCATAGAGCCCTCCATTGAACAGTATAACTCCTACATGCACTTTAATGGACACCCGAGTGGTAAGATGAAACTCTAATGCAAAAGGTGTACATATTTTTTTAATAATACTATACATTTCAACCTGTGGCAGCAGCAAAAGTATTACAACAATTACAACAAATATTATTATTATAAACGTTATGTTTTTGATGTAGATGTACAATGAAAAATTATATGATTTGATATATTTTCCATGTTCAGGTCATAGTGAAGTAGTTCCTGAGAAGAACCGCCGATCAACAGACTCGGACGAGGAATTCTGTGACTCGATGGAGCATCTGGCCATGGAAGAGGTGAGGTGTCCCTTCTCAATAGTATGCACCACATTAAATAAATACTTTTACTATTTTAGAAAATGTGCCTATTCTCTTTCTTTACAAAATCTAGATGATCAAAACCAATGAGCTCATCTATCAGTAACTCAGCTCAACACATGACTACAGGAAATCATTGCGAAATGGAAACAATCTGAAGTAATAGTCCAGTACAAAAAAAAAAGTATACAACAGAGAAATGTATCTATAAGGATGCTTAAGGATACTTGATCATTTGACAATTACATTGTGTTCCCTTAGTAAGGCAAGACCCTGAAAGATGTCAACACTGAGGCATTTACCAGGTGGAGTAAGTTAAGTTCCTTAGGGTTCAGGGCTTAATGCTTTAGGGGTGATCATTGAGATTTGGCCCTCTAGTTTGCCAATGCCATATGGTTTTTTAGCTGTTGGAGCTGAAAACAACTAAACGCTGATGTTTTTAAGGCAACCATAATGTTAAAATTAACCCTTATAAATAAAAACACAGTAGGAAAATGTTAAAGTGGTTAGACGGAAACAAGGAGAGAACCCAGACCGGACAACAGTGTTGTAGATGCCTGCCCCACCCTAAAGCATATGCTACTTTATCTTCTCTTCTACTCTAAATGAGACCATTATTTATAAAATAAACATCCTGCTGTATTAACTAAGTCTTAAAACGATCAATTGAGACTATTAACTCATTAGGAAAACATTGACTGAGGTAATAAATCAAGTAAGAAGTAGGGCCATTTTCTCATAGGGTGCATCTCACTTCGGTTAAATGGAATCCTTGCGTCCCTCACTTGTGTTGTTTCCCTGCGACTAGTCCCTCCCACCAGGGAAGCATGGAGAGACGCAAGGAAACCACGAGAAGCAGGGAAATGAGTTTTAAGAGCAATGGGACGTCCTTTCCTCCGGAGCGTCACGTGAAGCGGCGTCCGTTTGTGATGACGCCGCACAGCTGATCGTCTGACAGCAGCCAGATCAGTGCATGCGCTGCATCGTCCAATCAGTGAGCGATACACAGTAAGGGGGCGGGGCGAGTGTCTGAGGATTTCACCGGAGGATGGTCTGGTAGATGGTCTGGTCGAATATCGCTCCTCCGTTATCACTCCTCGATCCTCGGTCCTCCGGCAAAAATAAGGCCACTGGGACGGTACTCAAGATGGCGCAGACAAATCAACTTCCGGTGATACCGAGCCCGAGGAGCGAGGAAATGAAAAATAACCGAAGTGAGACGCACCCATAGACTTCTATACAAAAATCAGAGGAGCTGCCCCCTGCTGGCTATTAGAAAAACACATGGTTAGGGAACATTGGCTTCACTTTTCAGACCAAGAGTGTGCCGCTTGGTTCTGAACTTTTACTATTATTATTATTAAGACTACTCAAACCGTGCCTGACCTTTATTTTTTCCAAATAAGGGCCTGTCAACGTCAAGAATACGCTCCCCTGGATCAGCAGCTGTCTCAGTGAGGCAAAGGGATCATTGGTTTGAGAGCAACACTACCCTGAATGCAGGAGAGGATCAAGTACTCATGGGAGATTCTTACTTTAAAGAAGGGATTAGTGCAAGCAACAACAGCTCCTTGTCAAGAAGAGGGAGAGGTGAGACTGTCGACTGTGATTCATACTTACACTGTAACATACCTTCCTCCTAAAATGTCAAGGCATAAGACACCATCAAATTAAGCGCTCATTCACAAGCATTAAGATATCATTTTTTTACTCCAGTTCCAGGTTCACCGTTGCCAGGGACTCCCTGCGATTCTCAACGTTCTGCCAGTGTAGATGCTGTTTGTTGTTGTGTGTCACATAGCAGATATCCTGTCAGCGTTGCCAGGGAAAACATCAACGAGCAAATAGCTACCGCTCTGCTGAGGCTGCAGCATGACATGTCCAGGGTGTTGCACAGGCTGCACGCTCTGGAGGCGCTGACGGTGTCACAGGTGAGAAACCAGACGTGTTACCCACAGTGTGTACTGAAATGTATCATTGTTTATGACTGTCTCCATGACAATGTATCATAGATTTATTCATAGATGTAAAAGTTTTCTTGTTCTTGCATTTTAAAGTCAAGATCATCTTCGCCAAAGCAGGAGGACGCCCTGGCTGTAGCACAAAAGGTCGATTTTTTTTTTTTAACATCGTATTTTAATGGGGGCCCTATTATGCTTTTGGGGGTTTCCCTATCCTGTAGTGTGTATTATAGGTTGTTGTGCTTGTCTGCAAAGGCTAAAATCACAAAGTTCCTTCCAGAGGGAGTTTCCCTCCCACACACTCCACTGGACTCCTTTGTTTACGTAACATAATGCCATCACTTTGTAACACTCACACTTCTATTGGCTAGCGGGACATCTCTAAGCAGTTGACCAATCAAAAAACGCAGCAGCACAGGCAGTATGAGAAAAATAAAGAGCTTTTTGAACATTAAAGCATGTAAACATATTCACAGTAGAGACACACAATGCAAATATTAACCCGAAAATGAGCACAATAGGGCCCTTTTTATGACAAAGTTGTATCCAATCAGAAAACAATGGATTTTTTCTATTTACAGTTCTTAAGACCAGCTTGGTGGCCTTTTGACTTCTCTCCACTCACTGTGGTGTTTACTACACTCTGGCCTGTGGTTGCCCATTGGCTCGTCCAGGTTTACTTACAACGGAGGAGAAGGTGAGGAAAATGCTGATCAAAATCATCGCAAATTACTTTTGCTTTATAGGCATTTTAAATGTTTGATCTTTTCTCCTCACAGGAAAATCGCCTGAATTCTCTGACCTCAATCAAACAACATGACGCTGGGATGAAATCGTTGCACTTTTGATGTGTTGTGGCTTTGTAAGCCACCACAATAGACAGGGTATAATGAGGGCAGCATTAGAAATGGAAAGCCACCTTGGATAAATGAATGGTCAGATATGGATGTAAAAGGAGACTCTGCAATTTAGTGTAGCATTTTGACTTCCTGGATACTTTTTAGGTGTTTAAAATGTGTGCATTATAAAACTGGCACATTAACAGTGAGCGTAGCATTAGGCAGTGATCTTATTTATGAAATGTAGCCCAGATCACCAATAACTCAACATATAAATAACTTGCATCAACATGATCATACAGTAGCTGTGGACAGTAATCTATGACTCATTGTCATGCCAGTTATTTTATTTATTTATTGTTTATTTCATGTTTTTGTCAAACTGTTTTTTTCTAATTTCTAAGGACTTTTATAATGTATTGTTCAAATATAGACATATTTAAGGTGCATTTCTTTTTGGACCAAATTGACATATTCATTTGTAAAATTCTATATTTATTTTATCGCTTCAGTGCAATACTGTCATACACATAAAGTGAGGAACAGAGTAAGGACAATCCATATATTTATTTGTGTTTCTTGTCAGCTGTAAACTGAAAATTAAACATTCTCTGTTAAAGCAAAGATGTGGTGCTTTTTAAATATACTGTACATATAAACATAGGACATTTTAATGCAATAAAATCATTATATGAAAAAGCAGAGTGGATCTTTGATGTTATTATATGTTCAATATGGAGCATAAGTTTTTGCTACTTATGAAAAGGTGGAGTTGACTGTCTGTATAAACTGAGATTGAATATATAGCATATTGTTTTTACATTAAAAAAGAATTGCATCATTCAAATTGTAGATAAACTAAAGGAGAATAAGCGGAACTGAAGTGAGCTTGGTCAAAAAAGAGCAAGATTTCAACAGGGATGCAAATCATGTCACAACGCTGAGACGTCATATCCGGTTTATTTTCGGCTCTGTCCCGTTCGCAGTTTGATTTGTTATGCCTGTGAACTGAAGTAAAATAAACACGGCCATTTAACTCGGGGACAGAGGAATACCTTGTGTCGCATAACAGGCATTGTGTACCAGCGAGAATTCAAACATGTTTTCTCTGTCAATGACAGTCCAACCACAGGTAAGAAAGCAGGAAGCTTTAGGCCAAGCTAACGTAAGCATTGTTGTTGTTTTGGTTGTGGAGTTGAGCATGCTAGCGAGCTAAATTAACCTTAGCTTGTTCTCTCATTAGCCAGACTGCTCTCGACCTCATGTTTTTGTTTTAAAGAGATGTAGCGTTACTTTATCGTCAGGGGACATTGTGTCACTATTGTTTTCAGTATATTTACCTAAAATAAACTGAAGTAAAGACTATGAGGTCGGTTGAGAGAAGTTTTAGCTAGCTAACACTTCTGTTCTGATGTGTGTCCTTAGCTGCCAGATGGAGAAACTGCGTCAATGAGCGACATGTTTGACTACTGGTGATTTTATAATCTATTAAATCAGCAGTTCAATCAACATATCTACTGATTCGTGATAATCACCTTTATACGGCTAACGTTACCTTATTTAGAACTAACCTAAGCTAGTAGCGTGTAAGCTTTTGGTTACATCATGTTGGTTTTATAACACCGTCTAGCTGATGTACCTGTGTGGCTACCTACTGTCTTAAGTAATTGATCTACCTAACATAAGTGTGTGTGATGATGTTTTTTACATGTATAAAAGTCCACCTTTTCTGACTGTTGGATTACATGTGATGACAGGTGACTGTACCTCTAAGCCACCTCATCAATGTCCTCCACTCCATGAAGAGCTCAGTGGGGAGCAGCCTCAGTGCCTCGTGCAGACCCAGAACTCACAAGGAGCATGCCTCAGACTCAGAGCTACACAGCACAGAGGTAAAGCATTGTTTCCTGTCCCCCCTTTTCCAAGACTTTTTATTTAGCTGCTTATTTCATTCCCATAATGCACCTTGCTCAAAGTATACACTCATATTTTGTACATATCCTATATGCAAAAGATACAAGAAGAAATAAAAGAAGAGTACACATTTTTAACAAAAGCCTGTTCCTGAATAACTTTAATAATAATAATAATAATAATAAATGGAATTTATAAAGCGCCTTTCAAGGGACCCAAGGTCGCTGTACATGGTGGACAGACAAAACAAAACAGACAATGAGGAGCAAACAAAATAAAGGAAGCCGGGGGACCAGAGGCCTGTACTACGAAGCTGGTTCAACATAACCTGGATATGTTTGAGTTAGCCGGTTGGCCCAATCCAAAACATACGCGCTCTCGCTAAGCTCTACTACGACGCTGGTTATCAAGTGGATCGCTCAAGCCAGCCGTGTCCTATCTAGTTAGGTGCGCGTTCACATGAAAGGGGTGGTGTTGGAGCCACATTTGAAGTAGTAGTTTCTGTGTTTATTACGGTACATGTTTTTGAGTCACTATAGGTGGTGGGCGTGTCAAAGGATTTGTGTGGTGACGTTTGCGGTTATATCCGGTTGCTTTTACCTGCACATTTTGTGATAGATGGAGGGGGAGTGAGCTGGAGAAGGACAATTTTTGTTGACCGCATGCACGCACGCATGCACGCATAAAATAATATACATATGGATATGGACTATTGAACTTTTGCTTTGAAAATAAAAGGTCAAACGCATACTGTTGGAAAGACTGAGTTTTTGCGCGTCCACAGTGTTTTTCTCTTGTTTAGTCCCTCGCGGCACTTTGTTTGAAAGATTACTGCCGCAACATTAAGTCAACAAAAAAAGACTTGTACCACAGCGTGGATCTACGGAAATCAAGGATATACGGGGATTCCTTGGATCGATCTGGGACGCTGTGGAATTAAAAGGAAACATTGAAACGCCGTTATCGCCGCTGTATTGGAGAGCGGCTTAAGGAAACTAACTTCAGCGTGCTGCCGCGGGAGGATAAAGACTGACGGACAATCCACACAGCAAGGAGCGAGCGGTATGTAACTTCTTCATTCATACTGTGTAAATGTTTGTTTGAACACAGTGTGAATAAGTTACTGCTGCGTGTCCATTGGGGACTGACTTTTGCTTGCGTGTGGTGGTTTGTGCCGCTAGAGGTTGTCTATTGTCGGCAGCAGTGATTTACTGAGCGTTTGGCTGTGTGGATTGGAGCATTTGTTGTTCATTCATTAAAACATTAAAGAGATATGTCAATAAGTGGATCAAATTCAGATGTCAATGTGGCAAAAATGGATGAACAGAAGAGAGAGTCGATACTCACTGCCAAGGCTTTGGCAAATAAAATGGAAAAGCTCCAAAAGGAACGTCAATCAAAGGTTCACAAAATGAAAAGTGTGATTAAGACAATGAAGGATCTCATGCAAAGGGATGACAACGCCTCACAAATACAAACTCAACTTGAGCATTTAATTCAACTGGTTAAAGAAACCACCCTGTTACACAAGTCTGTAATAACTCTTCTTCCTGCAGACGAACAGGAAAAACAAAATGTATGGTTTGCCAAGACACTGAAATACAATAATGGATTTATCGACGATGTCAAGCAATGGCTTTCTGAAACTGGGAAACAACCGAGCAGCACCATTGCACATGTTCCCTCAATTGAGATATCTGATGAACACCAACAAAGTACGTCTCATGTTTCAAAACACTCTGGGAGAAATGTTGAAACTTCTGAAGCACAAGATGAAATAAAACCAAGCGACAGTGTTTCAAACATAGGAAGCATTGGGTCTCGCAAGCGGAGCTCTGCTGGAACCAGGTCCAGTGTTTCAACTACATCATCATGCACCAAAGCTGAGGCTGACATGGCCGCTCTCTTGGCACGACAAAGGTTATTAAAAGACAAACATGCATTGGATGAACAAGAGGAAGAGCAAGAGGAAGAGCTCAGGAAAAAGAAGGAACAGCTCAGGAAAAAGAGGGAGCAACTGGAAATGGAAGTGGAAATAGCTGCATCAAGGGCTAAAATGAATGTGCTAAGACGCTCTGGAAGGTCTCGTGCTGCAAGTGACACATCTGTGAGTCCCAATGGCATGCATTCTTATTTGGAAAGGGGACGAAAGGAAGCCATACTCAGTGCTGGAGCAAAAACATTTGTGCCTGACACAAACAGGCCTACAGGTGGTCAGTCTGACGTACAGTTTTTGCACAGAGAACATGAAGCAGAATATGGACATCTGCAACATCAAGCCACAAGAAGCTCAGAGGCCAATATACATCAAAGTTCATCACAATCACATCCACAGTTACAGCAACAAAGCAATCACCCAGCAGCACCGGCACCAGGCAGCAGTGCTCAGAATCCTTTAATTAATGTCTTGGAAAGACAAAATGAAATAACATCCATGTTGGTTCAGCAACAGTCTCTTTCTTTTCTGCCTAAAAGAGAAATTCAGATTTTTGATGGCTCTCCGTTTCAATATCAAGCATTCATAAGAGCTTTTGAGAACAGCATTGAGGAGAAGACTCACAACCCTAAAGACTGCTTGTATTTTCTCGAACAGTACACCAGGGGGCAGCCTTTGGAGCTTGTCAGAAGCTGTCAGCATATGGCCCATGACAGAGGATATGCCAAAGCAAAGGCTTTGCTACAGGAGCATTTTGGTAATGCACAGAAAATTGTTTCGGCCTACATGGAAAAGGCTCTTTCATGGCAGCCAATAAAAGTAGAAGATGTGCAAGCTCTGCAAGCTTACGGTCTCTTTCTGAGAGGATGCTGCAACGTCATGGAAGAGTTTGAATACATGTGTGAGTTGAACATGCCTAGCAATATGCTAGCCATCATAAAAAAGTTGCCCTACAAATATAGGGACAAATGGAGAACTCTGGCCTATGACTTACAGAAAAGGCAGGGCCGGAGAGCTACATTCATGGATATTGTTAATTTCATTGAAAGACAGGTGGATATTGTGAGCGATCCACTGTTTGGAGATATACAGGATACTCCACCAGCAGCCAACAAAGATGTGAGGAAAGCTAAGTTTGAACCTCGTTCAAGGATGAGGGGAAGCAGCTTTGCTACTACTATTACGACAGCGGAAAAGAAAGTGGAACCTGAAATAAGAATGAAGGAGAGAGGCTCACTAGGTACAAGTGTTTGCCTGTTTTGTGGAGGTAGACATATACTGGATCTGTGTTTTCAACTGGAAAGAAAGGCTCATAGTGAGAAAATCGCTTTCTTAAGGGAACACGGTGTGTGTTTTGGATGCTTGTGTATTGGGCACATGAGTAAAGACTGTAGGAAACGCCTCTCGTGCAAAGTATGCAGTCTGAAGCACCCAAGCATACTTCATATCTATCAGAAAGAGAAAGAAACTGACACAATGCAAGCTAAAGGAAAAGCTATAAGCAGTGCTCTTATCTCCGTTCAGTCCAGTCGTCTTACAGGGGCCGGTGAGCCAGATTGTACTCTCTCCATAGTGCCTATTCAAGTAAAGTCTAAGAAGGGACATGAAACATTCCTAACGTATGCCTTCCTGGATCCTGGGAGCTCAGCATCATTCTGCACGGAGCGGCTGATGAACAAACTGAATCTCAGGGGAAGAAGAACAGACATTCTCCTTCGGACAATGGGTCAGGAGAAAATAGTTGGAAGTCACATTGTTTCTGACCTGCATGTGGCTGGATTAGACAGCAGTCATTATTGTGAGCTGCCTGACACCTACACCCAG